AAGACGTAGAGCTGATGGAGTGAGTCCAGAGGAGCGCCATGAAGATCAGAGGGCTTGTGGACCTCTCCTATGAAGAAAGGGGAGACCAACTTTTTACACAGTTTGATAGAGGCAGGACAAGGAATCACTTTAAACGAAGAAGGGAGGTGTAGGTTAGATGTTAAAAACAAATTCTTTACTCAGAAGGTGATGAGGCCCTGGCACAGCTGCCCACAGAGCTGTGGTGCCCCATGGTGCACCCATGAGGTGCTCAAGGCCAGGTTAGATGGGCCCTGGGCAGCCTGAGCTGGTGGGGGGCAACCAGCCCATGGCGGGGGTGGGGGCTGGGTGGGCTTTGTGGTCCCTTTCAACCCAAACCATTCTGTGACGCTGTGATTCTATGATAAAAGCAAGTAAGAAAATAATTTCCTTTATCAGATATTTCAGGGAAGAAACCAAACTGCTGTGTCCAGGAGTTGCTGCATCTCACAATGGCCAGCAACATGACGATTCATTCAGATCTTCATTAGAGACTTCTGTGCTTGGTGTCATCAGCTGTATGACAACAGCACAGCACTCCCTGTTCTTACCTGCATCTAATGACAGAGGAAAATGCCACCACTACCCTCATGCTGACTTTTTGTGCTCCCATTTCCTTCCTGTCACTGCTGACACCACCTAGATACCTCCTAGACAAGGCATGCAGGATGTTGTTCCTCTCACACAGACTAACGCTCTCACTAGTGCTTATTTCTGAGTCGCCATAAGGTCCACTTAATCTTCTCCACCTCTGCAGCTGAGTTTGTGTCCCAGCCATCATTTCCCACACACTTGCCCAGCCTGACCCCTGCTATTTGCCTGATCTGCAAGCTGCCATGACAAGGACCAGTTCTGCTTGATAAAACCTGCCCCTTTGAAAATGGTTCTGTCGGCTTTCCCTTTCCTCCACCAGGAATCTTCATCAACCTAAGATCCTTACATCATGCTTTGCCTTTAATGAAGCTGTCACCTCGGAGTACCTGTAGGTAATTGGTTGGAATCTGGGTCCCATCCCCCAGCTCAAGGCTACAGATGGTTCCAGTCCAGCTTCCCTCTCCACTCTTGTCTTCTGGCCTCCTCCTTGCCTTTCCTATGTTGTTAAGCTTTGGAGCTCCCTCAGTCTGCAGCAATCAGAGAGTTTAAGGGGCTTTGAGGCTTAAGGAAAGGCTGAATCCTTCCTTCTTGGGGCCTAGGAAGCAAGGTTCTGTCAAAAATCTGCCCCACTGCTGCCACAAGTCAGTCTCTGCTGCTAAGCTGGGCGGAACTCTGTGCCTTGCCAACCTGAGACCAGCTCAGTCCTGTGGCCGGAAACCTCCAGGGACTTTACACACGGGCTGACTGCCCCCATCTTCCCAGTGTTACGGTTCTTTTCACAGCTCTATGACCTCTGCTGGTGAGGGGCCCAGACGCAGGTCGGGAAGGAGCGGCCTGGAAGAGAGCAGGGAGGATCTGATAGGGACATGCTGATAGAAGTGGTTGCTCACACCACCGTGCCCCATGCTGCCCACCACACAACACACAGCCCCTTTGCCCACTCGGTTCATCCTCTTTTCCACAAAGAACTGCCAAGAGAAACCTTCAGTGCAGGGATCCCCCAGAGGGACAGTCCACGTAATTGCGTTTGTTGTGCAACCAAACTCACCGCTCCTTATCCTCCGATAAGCTGCCTTCAAAAAAATGGTAAGGAAAAATTATGCAAAATACCAGATTTGGGCTCTTTAAGAAAAGCAATTGCTGCTGTTGATGGGACGGTTCTCCCTTCCCTGCCCCCTGGGCTCCTGCCAGCAAGCTGGGGAGGAGCTGTGCGTCCCAAACATCTCCTCTGCTTAGGGCTTCAAGTGCATTTTTCACATGGGAAAAAATCTTGTAGTGTAGTGTCCAAAGGGAAAGCTGACGTGCTTTGGGTCAACATTGCCAACTCCGAGCAAATGTTTGCTTTAAGGAGGTGTGTGACATTCCTTTCCAAAACCAAAGGGAACCTGGTCTTCAGGAGCTCTCTTGAATTTTAACCAGTTGAGTGGACGAGGAGGCAAAGAGGACTTCCAAGACTGTGTAGTTAAACAAAAAGTTTTAAATTACCAGCCAATTCCTGTGAGCATACTGCTGTGTTCCCTGCATGCAGAACTCAAGCCAAGCGCTCAGGCCCAGGTGTTCTACCTGGATAGGTGCAAAAGGTGCTGATATGGCCACAGTCCCTGGTCACAGAGGGGTGACAAGTCTGGACAGACAGCTGAAGCCAAAATCAAGCTCTTCTCCTTCAAATGTTTCTTTTCCATTTGCAACAAACTGAGTTTCTTATTCTTTCTCTTACAGTGCCCTCTCCTCTCCTCTCCTCTCCTCTCCTCTCCTCTCCTCTCCTCTCCAGTTACCATTTCATTTATTAAGGATGGGGATTAAGGAGGCCAGTGGGGTGGGTTAGGCTGGGCCAGTGACATCTGGGTAACATAATAAGGAGCTTCCAAAAGCAGAGGCTCACCCAGTGATAAAAAGCCCTGTTGTGGCATGGAGGAGCACTGTGCAGCACCTAATGATGAAGGTGCTTTCAGAATGAACAAGCCAAGGGAGCACCCAACTTCACTCACCCCTCTCTCTCCCACCACTTCATCCCAGAGGGATTTTGCCTGCGTTCATGTGTTAAATTCCAGGCACAGACCCCATTCAGGCGCTGTGCCCTGCTGTCCCACAGGAAGTCTGGCATTCCCACAGGATCACAGGTTCAGACATAGATGGGGACTGAGACAGGCTGGAGTAGTGCAAAATAAAGAAGTACATTAAAAGACATTGCAGCAGAGCAGGTTTGTGCATTGATGTGCTACTCTCCATGCTCCTCAGTGAAGGAATTCTCCCCCAGGCATTCACAGCCCTACACTTTCTGTTCCTGTATATGGATCAGTGCTGAAAAATGCCATTTTTTGTTTATTTGTTTTAAATGTTATTCATATTTCAGCTCTTGGCAACATCCATTTGCTTTAATGGGCAGCGGTAGATTCCCGTGCCAGGTTCTCAGACTCAGCTGCTACTTTTCACTCCACTTCTTCAGCTAAGGCAGAGATGCTCCTTGCGCACCCCCCAGCATGAAGGCACAGACCTTCAGTTCTGCTTGGATATTCCTCTGCCCTACAGCAGCGTGGATGTGCTGCCCTGCTTTAAACCAGCGCTGGCTGAGGACCAAGAAGGGCCACGCAGGGTTACCCCGGAAAATATGTGCTCTGCTATTTTATTCATCTGGAGCTGAAGTGGTTGGTATGAAAGAAAACACCCCGTGGGGCTTCATGCCTCGAGTCAATGGATTCCTGCTCCTTTTATAGCTCAGGAATGCCAGCGAGCTCGGTTGGTGTTTCAGGGCTGTGAAGGCACAGCTTACAGTCTGGATAACCATTAATCACAGCAGCACAGTGACAGCTGTGCACCTTCTGCTGTGCACCTTCTGCTGTGCACCTTCTGCTGTGCACCTTCTGCTGTGCTTTCAGATGTGGGCAAGGATGAGTGCTTCCCAGCCAACTGAGATCTCTGTCCTAAAAGCAACAGAGCACAAGGAGATGGGCTTCAGAGTCTGTGGGTAAAGGGTCTCAGCTCCCCACAGGCCTCTGCTATCCCACGGCAGTGCTGTGCATTTTCTGGGTAGGCAATCCATCAGAGTACCCCTGTCAGAGGGTGCTGAGAGCCCCCAGCAGGATGCTCAGAGCCCAGCTTCACAGGTTGGGCTGCATCCAGCTCCCAGATTCGGGACACCTGGCAACGACCATCCTCCCAGCAAGGGATGTTTATGCTTGGAGTGTTTCTACCATGGTGCTGACAGCGCTGGCGGTGCTAGCACAAACCTCGGTGGGTGATGTGCTCCGTCAAGTCCAGCTCAGAGCTATTTAAAGACACGAGGAATCAGAGCTTCTCAAGAATGCAGCTCACCGGTGGTTGGACGTTTGTTCCATTACAGCATGGGAGGAGAAAGCCTCTATCCCAGCAACCGACCAGAAGAGGAGACACGTTGTAGCTGTGCAGCATGCTGAATCCAAGTGGATCATGAAAAGATCTCCTCATTTGGGGCTGGATTGCTCTTGATTTCTGAATGCTTCTAAATAGTGATTCTGTTGATGGCTTTAGCTCTTCCGAGTTCTGTCCCTGTCTGTGCTAAGATGCTGCCCCTCGCTTACTTCTGGGAAGCCTCAGTCATTAGTGACTTTGACATTTCAACAGATCACCTCTGGAAGTTTGCTTTGTTGCACTATTTTTTCCAGAGGGTAATATGCAAAATGTACTTAACCTGCAGCCTTAACCTGTTACCGAGGTGAAGGCACAATGCAAAAACGGGATGAACCATTACAGCTACATACCTGAGTGCAGCTGGTGTTGAGGCTTTTCCCACCCCAATTCTGCTGTTGCCTCCATTGGTTTTTTTTCTTTTTTCTTCAATGAGAAAACAAAGAAAAGAAGCTCTGAATAAAAGGAGCTAACTCCCCAGCCTTGCTGCTCAATCCTGACTCAAAGAAAGATGAAAAGCCAAAATCTAAGCAACCATAGATTTCTATTCTTGGTAGTAAAAGGCCATCACAAGTACCCAGATATAGGAGGATTTTAGGTATCTTTCCCACATCGATCCAATGCCTGTCAAGCAAAGAAGTCCCAGACTCACAGGAATAATGAAAAAAAACCTACAAACAATGGGAGTGCTATGCTTAATGGGAATATCTTAATGGGAATATAGGGCCAAAGTATATTCTGATGCTCACCAAAGCACCTTGACATTCCAGCTTGATTTCCTTCAGGTAAAGCTGATCTGACTAAAACCATCTTAGGCTTGGCAAAGCTCTCTGCTTTACAGACCTGCTGACTCGGTGCCCACACACCACTGGTGCCAACAGCCATGGAAAACAAAGGAGGTGCAGCCTATGGTCAGCCAGGTCTGACCACTTAGCACACTGGGTGAACTGTTTACAAATTCCTTTCTTCTTAGGGACCAAATATATTCACGTTGGAAAAGTGAAGAAAGAAACACGTTTATACATTTATTATATACAATATTAAGGCACGAGTTTAAACAGCAAAGAATTGGAAATCTTTGGCTGACCAACAGTATCTATATTTGCTGTGGGTGACACGTAATGCTGCTCGTTTACCCACCTATGTACAAACGACCCTCCAGCTGTACAACACTGTACACCAACTCCTCTATACAACCAACAACAATAAAAGAATGACAGTATTTTACAACGAGTTCCCAACATTGCCTGGAACGGCTACAGCACCATTTCCCAAACCACCATTCAGTTCCAGGAGCTGGGAAACCCAGCAGGAAGGCAGCAGTGCTCCATGCAAACTATTCATGGTTGGTCTGCGGGGCAGCACTGGCTGTGAGCACACCTTTGATGGCACGCCCAGCTGCCTGCCTCTACAGAAGTCATTAAGCAGTTCCATCCAAAGAAATAATACAGCCAGTAATGACGTGCTGTGGGACTCCCAAGCAGCTGGGTATCCTTATTTCTTGGAGCAAAATGATGGCACATTTACTGTCATTTTCCTGCTATCCCCTCGCTTTGCCATCCTCCTGGCCCAGTCCCAGCTGGGCAGCGCTGGCATGCGTGGGGTTGGGAGGTGCCCACCTGCAGCCAGCCACAGCCACACGCAGGCCCGGCCTTTCCTTACGACCTTTAAATTAACTTTAGAGGAAAAATAAAATTATTTCACAAGGCATATATTAAGCGGCACAGCATCTTCAAAGGAGTTTTACACATTTGGTTTTGCAAAGCTGCTACTACTTGAAACACACAGCTCTCCTGACGGCACGACCCACCTAGCACTGCTGCGTTAACAAGTGCAAAAACCAGAAGGAAGGCAACACCAACACATCTGACTACACACACACTCAGGTAAGTGCATGGACTCAGCATAGCAATTTTGTTTTACAACGAAGGTATCTCACAGCCATGGGGCTCCAGCACCTGCAGCCTTTGGGGTTGCAAGGACTTCAGTTTTCAGCAAAAGTACAGGGTAAAGTGCCTGATGTTCTCTCAGTGTTTCTCCTCCTCTTGATGCCTACAGGAAGGGAGAGCCTTGAGCCAGTCCTGCACACACGTGTATCCAGGAGCACCCATTGCTTTTCCACTCTACACAACTTGGCATAAAATCCCACCACCCTTTTGCCAAAGCTGAATTCTTCCTGATGCCATAGGGGCACACTAGAAGATTTGGGAAGAGAAAAGCCAATAGAAAAATAGCCTGGAGAGGAAAAATTCCCTACCAGCTTTTTTTTTCCCCTACTAGGAAACAGAAGATATGTTTTGAGTAACATTGCTGTGAGCTGGCTGTCTTACAGACAGATGCTACCTCCTACAGAAACCAAGGGCTTAGCTAAAAATCAGAAACGTTTTGTCTTGGGTGAAGCAGGCTGAAAAGAGCCCACAGCTCAGCACACAACAGGTGATGCTCACGCACTGCTTTGCAGTTAAACATTCCAGGTTCAGTCCTGCACCTCTTAATGCAGAGTCCCACGTCAACCCAAAAGGCAGGTCTGTTTGCACAGGGAATGTGAGACTGAAAATAAGGAACTGTTCTTGTCCTGTCTGCAGACACTGCACAGTAAGAAGTATCTTCTGACCTCACATGCAAGCTTGGCTTAGTTCACTGAAATAACCGCAGAAGGCATCAGTGGTTTCTGTTTTCTTCCCATCTCTCCCGTGTAAACAGCCCTGAAGAGTTCCTTGGGCTACACTCTGTTACAGTTTTGTGCTCAGATTCTCACTTGCTGAAACCTATGTGTTGCATCTGGCTCTGCGTTGGGGCAGCAGAAGATGCACTGAGGCACCTCACCTCCTCCATCTCTGCCCTGCACAGCCCTGTGGTGGAACTGGCTGGATCCTCCTCTGACTTTCCTTCCTGAAACTTTCCCAATGTTGCAAAAGGGAACAGCAGGGTAATATCCCTCCTTCACGTTCTTCCTCTGTGGAAATTCCAATGAGCAACTGCTCCTATCAAAAAACAGAAGTCTCAGCAGACTCGGAGTTTGCAAGACACGAATATTTGCACTGTAATCCGGCTCCAAGAGTAATACTTGCCTGGCCAGGCAGAAGCACCTGACCTGCATGTCAGGAAAACCACACCACACCACTTCAAATGAATACTTACAAGAACCTGCCGTGTACATCCACACACCAATAATTCACTAAAATCCAGCAGTGAATACTTTTGAGAAAGGAATCAATACTGAGGAAGATGCAAGTTTCTCCAATTATTGTCAGATGCTCTGCTGGCCTCAGAAAAGCCAGGATTTGGCTCCTGTCCTGGCTGCAGAGGCAGCAAAACAGAAGCACCCTGTGCACCCAGTCTGTAATCTTCCTTCTCCACCAGAAAATGCAGTTTCCTCTTTCCTCAATGACCATCTTCTCGGGCCACCTTCGGTTTTCAAAGTCCCCTTCCACTCAGAAAGTCCTGAACACTCATCTCATCTCATCTCTCCTCTTGGGTCCTCTTTATCTCTCGCCCGGTCCCAAGTCTCTGTGTAACAGACTCAAGCTTCAATTCAGGCACAAACTTTCTCCTTCCTTCTTCAAATTCTCAGAGTCAGTTTTTAAGGTTGGCACACCAACAATGTCCTTGGACGTGGATGTATGCCCACAAAAGCCCAGACACCATCCTCTGCTCAGATGAGGACTTCCATCATATCTGTATCTGGAAATTCAGGCTTGTGGAGCAAGCTGCTCACCCTGCCTTTGCTGTCGGGCAGCTTTCCGTGGCTGGAGTTCTCTGCAATGGAAACAAGGCAAAGTCAGTCTTCAGCTCAAATCCAGTAACGAATTGCCCGAAGTAAATACAAGACCTTTTTTTTTTTTATTTTCCAAGGGAGAGGTACAACTGTGTGGCCTAAAGACTGAAGGCCAACTGGAGGGCAAGAGTCCCATAAGCCTCCCTGCACGAGGAAGGCCACAGTAACCCAAAGTTTCAAGCAGTTAAGGTATTCAGCCTCACTAGTGGCAAATAGGAAGTTTCTAGGGGGAGATTTGCTTTTAAGTAGAAAAAAGTATAAGAAACTGACTTTTTCAAAACTGCATCTGCAAAATATGTCTCTCCTTGATAAGGCTGCATGCCAGCAGTTTCCATATTCCAAGAATAACTGAAGTTGTATTTCTTTACAGAAAAACCCAAACCGTAACAACAAAACATTCTCCATTTTACTTTTTAGCCATATGTTTCTTTTAAAAACCAGGTGGTGCTTTCACTAACCATGGTTTAACCATTGGTCTGTATCCTCATTCGCATGAATGACGACATTTGTCACCCTGAGGTATCTCGGGGAACAAGCCAACAGGTCAGGGGAGCTGACACTCCATCGCTGGCCCTGCTGCCCCCAGGTGTGCTCCTGCCAGCACTCACCCAGTTTCTCCCCGGCTGGCCGTGCCCCCGCGGGCCGTGGTACCGGGCTGTGTGTCGGGGTGGTGCCCAGCCGGCCACGGCCGGGGAAGGAGGCGGTGGCGGGCCAGAAGAGCTCGGTGTTTTTGTCGGTCTGGGTGCTGTTGTCCTTGCTGCCCGTCTTCACGTGGGAGGCTGCTGGTGCCGGCACGGGTGCACATGACAAGGAGGGCAGAGGGGGAGGCAGCGTGGGGCCCGGCGGGTGCTCGTGGTGCTCCTTCCCCAGGAGCAGCCCTGAAAACACACCGAGCGCAGCCATATCCAGCTCAGTCAGAGGTACTGCCCCATACTCACCCCGGAGCTACAACCCCCTTTTGCACACCCATCCCAGCCGTACCCTGGGGCAGGCACACACACCTTCACACTCCCATTGCACACGGCATCAAATGCATAGTAAGATGAGAGGTAACAGCCTATAGTTGCGCTGGGGAGGTTCAGGTGGGGTATGAGGAAACACTTCTTCTCAGAAGGAGTGGTGAGGCACTGGCACAAGCTGCCCAGGGGGATGGTGCAGCCACCATCCCTGGAGGTGTTCAGGAACTGTGAGATGTGGCACCGAAGGATGTAGTGAGTGGGCATAGTGGGGGTGGGCTGGGGTTGATCTCAGAAGTCTTTTCCATCCTTAACAATTTTATGATTCTCTGAAGCAATGGACTAGCCAAAGCTTAACCAAAACCACAACTCACCTATGCTTCCCTTCCAGATCTTCTCCTCTTTCTTCTCCTCAGTGATCTGGTTGTTGGTGAGCGAGGTCTGGCGTGAGTGTGTGCCCGCAGAAGCAGCAATGGAGGGCACGGAGCGAGCGGGTCGCAGGCTGGCACTGTCGGCTTTGCCGGGATCCTTCCGTGAGCGCTGCTGAAGGACCTTGATCATGGCATCCTTCTCGATTATTTTTGCATGGAGATTCTTTATTCTGCCAAAATACAAATGTTGTGCTTACAGGGCTGGAAAACAAGTTTATATGGGCAGCAATCTGCAGCCAAGGGTAGCAGGACCGCTCCCCAGGTACATGCCCTGCTGCTCTGTCATCTCTGCTTTTACGTGACCCGGATGAGGAAGCTCCCTGCAGGGCTTCTAAGGGATAACTATGCAGCCTGAAACAGGGAGCATTTCTGGCTATTAACCCCAAACAGGTTTATTTTGCATGGTTAGATGAAATCACCTATTGCTGTGGCTTTACCAACACAGGAGAAGCAATGGGAGCAATATCCTGACTGCTGTGGATTGCTACCTTCACTGAAATAACACAAAAACACAAGCAACATTCCCCCACTGCCACCAAATCCGAAATCCCTCCCAGCTTGGCAGACTGCCACAGGGAGGAGTTTGCCTCAGCATTATCTGAATGAAAATCCTGAGTTAACCTCGTAATTCAGGTCTGTTGGCAGCTGGAGGAAAGATTTGTTGCTAAAGTGATGGAAGGAGTTCCCTTTGGTGCCTATGGCAGCTGGGCTGGGCTCCCGGATCCCACTTAAGCCCTGCAGAAACCATCTGTTTGTGGTGTGCAAAGCTGGGACCCCAAAGACCATAGAAAAAGTTATCTGAAAATTGTCTCCGGGAATTATTAACAACTAATCCTACTGTATCTTTGCTGATGTACAACATACGGTCAAATCAACTACGTTCTGTGGAGCAGTGAAAGCTGAAACGCCACATCTGAAAAACTTACACATGCAAGGGAGACAGACAGTAAGATGCCTTTAGTTTTCATAGTCAGATGTCTAATTTGCAATGAAAACACAAAATCCTAATCCATTCTTCATGAAGTCATTGGCAAAACTATTGCTTCGCTAGAAGCAGGGGTAGCTTGCATGTGTGAGTGGAAAACAGAAATCAAATCCAGTAGAAACAATCATCTGCACTTTCCATAAGCAACACATACACTGTTTAATAGAACTGTCTGCAGACTTGTCATTTTGTGGGAAAGACAAAAACGGAGCATGGATTTCAAGTGATTTTTCATTAAAAACCTAGAGACATCCCCAAGCACTCCCAAGGGATCCTTACTCATCAGCAGACCACTTTTCTCCAAAGAACAGCTGGGATGACAAGTGCAGCCCCATGCTCTAGCACCCATGTATCTACACAGCCATGTTTCCACTGGTGTGCTGAAAATGGAGAAGTGCCATTGAACATTACCTGTATCCAAAGAAGTGTATGCTATATGTTCTTCTACTGCTGGTAAATATATATATATATATATATATTTAGAGGTGTTTGGGGGACTAAGTTTTGCAGGCTTATTGCTAAATGCCATGTGAATGCCACTCAACATGGACGTGCACAACTGAGTGTATCCGGAAAGAGCAACAAGCAGGCAACTAAGGAGAGCAGATGCTCTACTTGCTGATTATGTAGGAGTGGGATTACAACTTCAGCTTTTACAAAGAGATGCTCTTGTTTCCAGAGGGGGATTTTCAGTGAGATTAGGCAAGTATTTAGCTTCCTTGCATGCCAACCTACTTTTAATATTGGAACAACCTCAATTTTTCAAGAAGGTCGGTTTGGATGCAAGGCTTTGGTGCAAGTAGAGGAAGTTATCTAAGGACAGCAAGGAACCAAAGTGCATCCTGATCCCCCTTCCCAACACCTCACCCCACCACCCAAGGGAAGGAGCCCGGTGGGGTGACTCCAGTCCCAGCCCCACAGCAGTTCCTTACGTGTACTCCATGTCCTGGCAGCGCCGGTTGGCCTGCACAATTTCCTCCTCCTCCTGCCAGCCCCGTGCCTCCAGTGTGCTCTCGCCATAGCTGCCGTTGTGTGAGTGGCTGGGGGCCGAGGTGTCCCTGGCAAAGTGATGGGACACAGTCAGTTGGGCCCCATGGACTTTGAGGATGGGTTTTACAAGAGAGGTTGGTGCTTGCAAAAAAAACCTAAGCCAAATCTCACGTTTGAAGAGTAATGATTGACTGTTGAAATGGATGGCTATTGGTTGTCTTGCTGTGGTGCACCCTTGGATCTGGGTTAGTCGTTAACGGTGTTAATAATTAGGACCAATGCTAAAATCACAGCTGAGCCCTGTGAGATTAACAGCCATCCTGCAGGATGAGGTGAGACATCAAGAGGACTGACTCACCCACCAGGGAAACAGTCCCAGAGTCACCAAGGCTGCACCATGAATGAGAAACAAAACTGCATGCTTAGGAAAGTGAAAAACAGAGGAAGTGCTGTCCAGAAGCACAAAAGGAATGCACTGTACTGAGATCAGCACACAGCCATATTTAACAAGGCAGATCTCATCTTAGGATGTATTCGGGGGATTTGGCTCTAAAGAAACAGGGGTGAGACATTAATTATCCTGACCCATCATTGTCGGAGACTTTGCTGCAACACATTGTGTGCTTTGGGGCACCACACTTTGACACAGACAAACTGGAGACTACCCAAACAAAAGCACTGGGAATGGGAAGGGGTTCCTACAGGACGCATGAGGGATGGCTGGAGGAAGCGGCTTTAGTTCAGGCCAGGAAGATACACCAAAGAATGTGTGTCTTCCAACATTTAAAAGGCTGTTATAACGCTGCCAGTGACCTGTTATTCATCTTGCACACCTGAGAAGGACAAGAATAAATTGAAGCAATCTGCAGCCAAGAGGTTTAGTTTAATGTTAGGAGAACTTTTTTAATTTGAAGCTTAATGAGGCAGTGAAACAGAAGACTTAGGCCACAACGCTTCCCTTGTTACAGGTTTTAAAATGAGGTTATAGAAACAGCAGCAGAATGTGGGCTGGATGCAGCTGATACCAGTAGCTCCAGCTGTGTGCTGTGCATAACCTGTGAATAACCTCACCAGTGCTGAGTAATTTGGCATCCTTAGCTTGGTGCCTGAGTTTGGTAAACTTTTGGACATGACCAAAAGGGTAAATTCTGTCTTTAACCAAACTGTATTTCAGAGGTGTCACCTCACTGAGAGATGTATTAACTCTGCTGGAGAAACAGCATGGAAAGGCAAAGCAAAATCCAGCCTTGGGGAAATACCCATTCCTTATTCCTCCCCCACACTTTCTGCTGCAAATAGAGCTGCCTGCTCACAGCAACACCATCTCACCTCTCCGTTGCAGCCGTGGCTGCAGCATTCATGGCAAAGTGCCTAATGGTGCTCTCCTCCAGGTACTTCTGCTCCCACTTGGTCATGTCGGCTTCCAGGGCCAGGATCCGCTCCTCCTTCTCCCTCACCAGCTCCATCAGTGCCGGCGCATTGTACTCGGGGAGGCTGCTGGGCTGGAAGCTGCCCTGCCTCTGCCGGAGCAAACAGCCACAGGTCATAGAATCACAGGATATCCCAAGTTGGAAGGGACCCGTAAGCATCATCGAGTCAACTCCTGACTCCACACAGCACCATTCAAACAGGACAGGACCACCACCTGACAAGCACAGGAGCTACCAGCCCTCATTCTCCATATGGACAGCTCAGCCTTGCATTAGCACATCGCCACAGGGGCTATGTTGAGCCACCTGCACAAGATATTGGATTGCAGGAGTCTGGGCAGGCTGCCAGGCTGCCAGATCCCTCGATGCACAGGGATTCTGTGGGATGCACCAAACCAAGGCAAAAAGGAATAAAGCTTTAAAACATATTCTTCTTGCCTGCCTCTGCTGGTACATCCCAGTCTAGCAGTCCCTGGAGATGCTTTGTGAGGGCAGCAGGAGACTTTCCACCCACATGGGCAGAAGATCCCCAGAGGCTGTGAGGTGGTTCCCACAGGAGGCAGACATGCAGCCATGAATGTGGAAGAGCACTCTGGATTTATTCTGATCTACACAGGTTTATTTTGCTCTGTTACAGGCACTTAACTACAGCACCCAAGCTGCAAGTAAAGCTGCCCTGAGCTCCTTGGTGGAGATGGGGCAGAAGAGAAAGCTCTGGGAAGATGTCATTATGGCCTTCCAGTACTTATAAACGGGAGCAGGAGTGACTTTTTACATGGTCTGATAGTAGTATGACAAGGGAGAATGGCTTGAAACTAAAAGAGAGGAAATGTAGGTTGGATGTTAGGAAAAAAAATCTTTATTCAGATGATGGTGAGCCAGAGAAGCAATGGTGCCCCATCCCTGGAGGTGCTCAAGGCCAGGCTGGATGGGCTCTGGGCAGCCTGAGCTGGTGGGGAGCAACCAGCCCATGGCAGGGGTTGGAACTGGATGAGCTTTAAGGTCCTTTCCAACCCAAACCATTCTATGATTCAGTGATAAGATCCAGCTCAGAGGCTGGGTGGAATGAGCCCATACTGGGAGGATGGGCACAAAGCTCTGTCAGAAGTCAGTATAAATAAATGGTGAGGTTTTTTTAATAAAAAAGCAATTTGTTACAGTTCACAGTGTACAATACTATGCTAAGGGGAAAATCATCTTCAGCTCTTCCTTCTAGACATTTATCTCCTGGTTACAGAAAAGAAGAGACAGCAGAGCAAGACTGCAGCTTTTGGCTTGATGCAGTAATGACATGTTTGGAAGATACTTTCTGGAATAGTGCAGTAGGGAATAACCCTTAGGAGCAACTGCTGCAACCACTCCTGCAAACCAGCCAGTGCACTCAGATACTGTCAGACCCCCGGCAGGAAGGCAATGTTTTGGAAGTACAGTTATGGGCTGTAAAACAGAGCCCTGCGGTGCTTCACTCGCAGTCAAAACATCTGCCAGCCCTGCATGCTCAGCCTGCAACTCCAAGTCAAAAGGATATTTTTTTGGTCAATGACATGATATTTTTTTGTCAAGACAATGACAATATGCTGTTTGGACTCGCTTGGGTCAGGGAGCAGAAGAGACTGGCTCACTGTCTCCTTGCATACCACATCTCTTCTTGCTGGTGAAGAGGAGAAAAAAGCTCTTTTCCTCTGTGTTGAGAAACAATTTCAGTAGATGTAACTCTGCTAACAGAGACAGATCTGACTGAAAACACTGGGGCATCATTGCAAGCACCATGATTTGTTGTAATGCTGTGTGTCTCATAAGGCCAGAAGTATAAAAATATCCCAAAGTCTCCCCATCAATACTGATAAGAGATGTGAAGTCAAAGAATCTTTGTTCTTCAAATTCTTTAAAGAGGACTGGTGTAGGCATGCAGGAGCTATGGCAACCTAAAATGCAGTTGCTAATTGCAGTTCCAAAAAAAAACACAAAGAAGGCAAGTTACAGAGGCATTTTTCTGACAAAATCATAGACACAGCCAGAACTCCCGCAGCAAGGACTTGGGTGGGAGTCCATCCCAGTTACCTAATCTATCCATTTGTCCTTCTGTCCCAGCCAACAAAGCCTTTTCTAGTTCCACACAGAATCATAGAATGGCCAGGGTTGGAAGGGACCTCAAGGATCATGAATCTCCAATCCCCCTGCCACATGCAGGGCCACCAACCTCCACATTTAAAACCAGACCAGGCTGCCCAGGGCCCCATCCAACCTGGCCTTGAATACCTCTAGGGATGGGGCATCCATCCAGTTTTACCTTCGTTTACATTTATTTTTCTCAAATGATCTTTCCTTTCCACCAGCATCAGCATGTTATATCCCCGAGTGACTTATTTTTTAAGACAGAGAAGAGCAGGCTAAGAAGCAATTGAGAAGAGCTACTGAAATACAGCATACAATTCCATGATTCTGTGAAAACCCAGAGGATGTCTGTATAATCTGTTTGCAAACTCCCCAGGAAAGGTTGTTGTAACAGATGAGTTTCTTGACAGATATAGGAGTGAGCCCTCCAGGAGTTACAGCAAAATCAGCCTTACTTATGTTGCTGTCTTTTACCCAGGCAGAGGTTTGATAAATGTGGTGCATCTGCTCACTCTGCACTAAAGCCAGTACTCGTGTATTGGGTACTTGGTGCTGGCTGTGAACTGGAAATCCTCCCTGAAACCTCCTCATGCTTTTTTTCCCCCTTTTCACAGATAGCTGCGCCTGGGGACTGGGGAGAAAGAAGAGTCCAGAGTACCACTCAAAAGAACGACTGCATAGGACACAAGCTACCTCCAGCAGCCCCACAGCAGAGTTCAGCCATCATCCATTGGAAACCAAGGGCTCCATGGGCAATCCCAGCCCTAAAGCAAGGTGACTCTCAGAAAGGCTGAGAGAAGGCTCTGTGCTGAGTCCCACACAGGCTATCCCTGCCTCACCTGCTGCATGCGCAGTGAGTCCAGCTCCCGCTCCAGGCGTGTGCGCAGCCGTCGCTCCATCTGCTCCCTCTTCTCACAGGCAGCCTGAAGTTGTGTCAGTGCCTGTTGTAGCTTCTCCACCTTCTCCACATAGGCCTGCTTCCTACGCAGCTGCAGGTCACAAAATAGAATCAGAGAATGATTAAGGCTGGAAAAGACCACTACGATCTCTTAGTCCAACCATCAACCCATCCCCACCATGCCCACTAACCATGTCCCTCAGTGCCACATCTACACACTTCTTGAACATCTCCAAGGACAGTGACTCTACCACCTCCCTGGGCAGAGAATTTTTTTCCAATATCCAGCCTGAACTCATACTGAAGGAAGCAAAGGTTGGTTTGGGGTGGAAGGGACCTCAAAGATCGCCTAGCCTAAGCCCCTACCATGGGCAGTGACAGCTGTCAGTAGATCAGGCTGCTCAAAGCCTCTTCCAACTCTGAACATCTCCAGGGATGGGACATCCACAGCTTCTCTGGAAACCTGTCCCAGCCTCAGAAAGTGTGGGTTCTCCTCCTCTACCCCAGCTTTCTGTCATGAATTTTGTCACTGATACTGAAAGTTTTGGGGGATTGTAGCTTCAAGCTTGAAACTTGATTTAAACTTCTGATTTGGTGAGAGTGAATGCCAGAACTCTGCCAACACCAGTCAGGCCCATCTGCAACCTGGGTGGTAATAGGGGTGTTTGGGGTCATTGCTACAACCACCATGATCCCATTTGGGGCTTCTGATCTCATTTATTAGCGCACTTGTTTGGGAAGCTTTTCAGAAGCAAGATAGGAGGCAGAAAAATGCATTAACCCTCAGTGACGCTGGTGAACTACTAGATATACAAGAGACTGAGAGCTGGCTAGGTCAGAGCCAAGACAGTATTCTGGAGCCTATCTTATTTTTAAACACTTAAATTGCTACTGAACTGCAATGTGAGTTCCAACAGACATTTTTTTCCTTGTGTGATGCTGGATTCGCTTAGGTTTCCTCCCAACAACTACAGAGATAATAAAATTGATTTTTCTTAAAATTCTTCTTCCACTATCTCAAATCCATCCAGGTCACAGATGGAGTGAAACTGCTCACAGCAAAAGCAAAACTGGTTGAAGCAAAGTTCTGGCTTCCCATCCAGAACCAGCCACCTGCAGTGTGACCTCCCTAGCCCTGCTGTAATCTGGGCTAATGCTCATACTCCCACAAACTGCAGAAAAGCACTGAGATTATAATCCCCGCTGGTGTTTGGCAGCAGTAGGAAGACTGCATTCCTTGGGAGCCGATGACTGCAAAATAGACACACTGGTGGCTTCTTAGTGAATATGCTGTTTTGCAAGTAGAAAAGTGCCTGTGCCACCTCCCAGCTGTGTGAGCACAGATCCGAGAGGTGATGTGGGCTCCCAGCCTTCATCCATGTCCCCACATCCTGCTGGGTGCTGAGCAGGATCTATACCACATCAGCCAGAATTTGGCCTTGCAGCAGCCTTTTAGGGCTCAGGATTCACTCACTTATGCATGAGTGCTCCTTTGTATACGTGGGTGAGGCCAAGCACGTCTACTGCCTTAGCAATCAATTTTGTTAGATATGCAACAAGACAGTTCCCACATTCATATACTTATAGGAAACTTCTTGAACCAAATCTGACCTTTTTTCATCCTGTCTGCAGATTTGTAAGAAATATTTCATCCACGTGCACTTAAGAAGCAAAGTACAACATGTTGTCACTGAAATTAATGGGCTTGCTAGTTGCTGTGAGGGAGGAAGGTTGTAATCAGAAATACATGATTCTAAGCTCCACTGCCTTGCGGAGTCCCAGGCTCAAAGGAAAAATGGCTGGAAGTTACCTCAGCAGGTACCAGTCTATCCTCCTGCTACCAGATAGGATCAATTCTACCTAAGTCACAGGCTGGAGAGCTGGGTCGACCCAGCAGGTTGAAGGAGGTGATCTTCCCCCTCCTACTCTGCCCTGGTGAGGCCACAACGGGGGTATTGTGTCCAGCTCTGGGCTCCCCAGTTCATGAAAGACAGGGAACTGCTAGACAGAGTTCAGCAGAGGACCACAAAGACAAAGAGGGGTCTGGAGCATCTCTCTTATGAGGAGAAGAGGCTGGGAGACATGAAAGTGTTCAGTCTGGAGAAGCTTGAGAGGGGATCTTATCAATGCTAAAGGGCCAGAATCAAATGGATAGTCCTGGGGTCTTTTCAACGGGGCCAGGTTCTTTTCAGTGGTGCTCAGTGACAGACAAGGAGCAATGGGCACAAACAGCAACACAGGAAGTTCCATAAAAACATGAGGAAGAACTTCTTTACTGTGAGGGTGACAGAGCACTGGAACAGGCTGCCCAGGGAGGCTGTGGAGTCTCCTTCTATGGAGATACTCAAGACCCACCTGGATGCCTACCTGGATGCAACCTGCTCTAGGGAACCTGCTTTAGCAGGGGCTGGACCTGATGATCTCCAGAGGTCCCTTCCAACCCCCACAATTCTGTGACTGTATGAAAAGCTGGTGGACGTCTGTATAATCTGTTTGCAAACCCCCCAGGAACATGGACACCACAGCCTTTCCCTACAAACGACTTCATGACCTATTTTCCCTTGCTGCTTGAAAACTTTTACCCTAATGCCTAATCTGGCTTTCTCTTTTGCAATTTAAGCAAATTACTTCTTGTTCTGCTTCCAAAGTGTGATCTACTAGAGCAAGAAGCACTTAATGAAACAATTCATGTATTCACAAAATCAGCAAACTTGTCTGAATGCTGCTCTTGTCCCACTGGTTAGGAAAATAAAGATGAAGAGCTAAGGCCAAAAGGGGCTGATCCAAACCTTGTGTCCATGAAGCAAAAAAGTCTGAGAGACCAGTGGGTCTTAAGAAAAAATTTCTGCTCTGGGAAATAAACTCTGGTTTGAGTTACAGAATAGTGATTGGGAAAAATCTATGGATTTGACTGTAAGAGATGGAGGATTCACTGACTTGCTACATAAGGCTGTTTCCATGTTAATGACTCTTTTCTTCTGGCCTGATTTGCTCAGGTTTAGCTCCCAAACACTGCAGCTCATTATCTCACCTCATGTTTAAAAGCGATGTTTAATCTAGCTGACAGCAATCTCTTCTTAATCTTCATGTGTACGGACCCAAGCTCAGCCATCTCTTAACTTTAATTGTTCACAGCAAAGAACATCTTCTGGGCTTCAAATAAATTCTATGGCTCTTTCCTGACCTCGCTCCAGTTATTCAGTTGTTTCTCTGACACAATTCCAGCAGCAGTGTCTAAATGACATGTGGTGGTAATACCACCTACATACTTTTGAATTAAATCCTTCTACTAACAAGCAATCAAGATAATGTAGATTTACATAGTATATTATGTTAATTCAACTTAGCAGCTGCTGCTTATTTCTCTTGATTTGAAAAGCTTTTAAACTCAATTACATTTTGGTGCTACAAGAAATCTATGTGGAATTACAAAGCAGTGCATGAGGTACAACTCAATAATAATCATCACCTTTATGTGAGTGTTTGTTTCTTTCAGTATATCCCAAATTATAACAAGAATGCCTGGTTTGAGATGAAGACTCAAAACTTGAAGATTATCTGGTTTGCATATGTGTCAAACTGATCTCCAAGAATTGGAGATCGTTAAAAAAGTGGTCTCTTTTAATGGTGGAACAGACCAAAAGCAAGGGAAAGTGCGATGAGGAGTTTGGGTACATGCTGACAGTCACAGTTTAACCATGCAGTGCCCAAGTTGCTTGGCACCGCACTGCACCGAAACCACAGTAGCTGTGAGAAAGCTCATTTAACTCCTCTTAGAATGAAAACCACGTAAGCACTACTAGCTTAACATGGGTCTGCTGAGGCTGAGGGCTCTGATTAACTCTGGGGAATGTGGTTGCATCACATTCATTCACTGTCAGCCCTTGGATCTAACATGCTCTAGGGCACGTAGGTTACCACCTCTGCAACACCTAACATGCCCCAGACATGAGGTTATCATCTCTGTAACACCTACTGTGCTCCAGCCTTGAGGTTATCACCTCAGTAACACCTAACATGATCTGGGCAGAAGGTCCCTAACCCACCTTGAGCAGAAGATCACTTCCTGAGGAATACCAAACATGTAGGACCTTACCAGATCTCTTCACAGGAATATTTGTCCTCTCTCACTTTAACTTGTAATTCCCATCCACAAAGGCATATTTTTCTTGGAAGACTAGGCTAGGAACTGGCAACTGCAAAGCTTTAAGACACAGAGCCTCGAGACTGCAAATGTATTTACAGGTTAAGGACAGCTTTTTATACCACCTGCCTGAAAATCTGTGTTTATGCTTCTGCTGCCTTCACCAGTGTGTGATTAGCAAGTTGGTATTACCTGCCAGTATCACACTGACACTGTGGAGCAGCCAGAAGCTAAACATGTTTCTTCCCATTCCCTGTGTGATGCTGTGCTTGCAGAAGCAGGTACTGCTACCTAAAGCATTTCTTTATTCAGCCACTTTATAAGAAAATGTAAACAGAAAAGCTCTGGTTACCTTTAAGGCAAACAGTATCAAGTGAATAATGGACAGATGAAAGCTATACTAGCTCCTGCAGCTATCCCAAAGGGACTGCCCTAAATACACTGGGAAGATGAGCAGTTTAACAGAGGAGCACTTAATCTTAATGGGATCCTCTTCCTGCTGCTGAGTGCATTTGCCAGAGGCAATGGAGGTTTAAAAATGTTTTCAAACAAGAAGTCAGAATGGTCTAGTGGCCAGGAACGATACAGCATTCACCTTCAGTACTTGAAAACCACCAGGTTGTGAGTTATCATTAATTAGCCTACAGGAGGGTCTGTCTTGAACTGCATCAAGTTACTTGCCCACTCCTCGCAAGACAACTGGCAGGATTCATCCCCAGGCCAACCTCTGTGAGAGTGCAGCTAGGAAACGAGGCACCAAAGGGAACAGAGCTGACCAACCTTATTACTCTCTTCCAGTACCTGAAAGGTGCTTACAGTGAGAGCGGGGTTGGTCTCTTCTCACTGGTGACAGGTGACAAGACGAGGGGAAATGGCCTCAAGTTGCGCCCAGGTAAGTTTAGGTTGGATGTTAGGAAACACTTCTTTACAGAAAGTGTGGTTAAACATTGGAAGGGGCTCCCTAGGGACATGGTTGAGTCACCATCCCTGGATGTGTTTAAGAGCTGTTTGGATGTGGAGCTCAGAGATATGATTTAGCAGAGGGTTGTCAGAGTCAGGGTATTATGGTTAGGCTGCGGTTGGACTTGATGATCCTTGAGGTTCCTCCCAATCTGAGTAATTCTGTGATTCTACGACCATGCCAGCATTCTGTGCTAGGTGAGCATTCTTCCCCTCACTGACAGAGCCTGCTCAGACAGTCAAAACTTTTAAATTTATTCCCCATAAAACATCTTCCTTCTCTGTTGGTCCCAGGGACTGATATTTCAGGGTCAAAAAGTCCTATTACAACAGTCCTGTCTTATCTGCCAGAGCACACAGGCTTTCAGCTAACTATTATTTGCAACTTCTCATTGAAGGTCCGTAAGGAACACAATAAATTGAAATTTATTGATCTCCAGTAACAGAGAACTGACATCACTCTTGGTTATTGCTAATACCGAGCATTATTTCCATTTTGAACTTGCTTAGCTTCAGATCCAGCTACTAGATGTTGTACTGTATTTGCCAGTTTGAAGAGCACTCTATTCTTAGGATTTGTCCTCCTGTTTGAATACTGATTTTCACTATTGGGCTTACATGACTATTTTTAAGAATGCCTTGGGGGTTTTGCACAGATGACACTTTGGGAGTCTTATGGTACAACAGGTTTTTTCAGCTCTTGGATAAATACTGTAGCTCCAAATCCTGAGGGTCTTGCCTGTAGCCAGATCAGCTCATTCTTTGAAGACCACAATTCACATGCAAAGTTGCTAAGCCCTAGACTGCTGTGCTGCAGTCCTGGAATTCTCTGGGGAGATACAGGATGTACCAGGATCACATGTTTATATCACAGCTCTGAATCAGTGAGTCAGATTTTTGTTTGATATTTCTAAGCCCTACCAATACCTCAGCCATCAACTATTTCAGCTTAGAGATGCTCCCGATTACATGTTGAACGCTCTGCCTTGAAAACATCTATGGTTGTAGTCTCCTTTAATTGCTTTCCTGGCTCAGTGCTGTACTGCTGTGCATTTTCTCTGCTGGACATACACCACATGGGAGCAGGAAAATGTGCCACATGATGGCCAGAATAGATTCTGGACTGGGATGGAATAAGTCTTATCTGCAAGCTACCATTAGCATCAGAGCAGAGGAATGATGCCCACGCCTCACCTCCTCTTCCAGTTTGATGACTTTGGCTTGAGCATTGTTTAGGGCCTGGTCAAGGATTTCAATGTGCCTGCGCTGATCCTCATTGGCAGAGCGCATGGCTGCCAGCTCCATCTCCAGCTTCTCCTTCTCTTTCAAGTGTTCCTTGTCTGGAAGAAAGACAAGAACATTGTGGATAAGATTTAAAATGACATCAAAAAATAAAGCTAAGTTCAGTCAGCTCTTCTCGCAATTTTCCCTCAGCAACAAAACTCACCATCAATTTTGCTGACAACCTACATACTGAAAAGCTCAGCTCCACCTATATGAAGTTCTTTACTTAGAGGGCGGTGATGCCCTGGCACAGCTGCCCAGAGAGCTGTGGTGCCCCATCCCAGGAGATGCTCAAGGCCAGGTTGGATGGGGCACCGGGCAGCCTGAGCTGATGGGGGACAACCAGCCCATGGCAGGATGGGAACTGGGTGATCTTTAAGGTCCCTTCCAACCTAAGCTATTCTATGATTCTGTGATCTATCTCTGCTCTGACAGCACTGAGAAACCACTTCAGGAAATACAAATATTGCAATCTGACTGCTGGATCTCCAGTGTCAGACTACAAACAGTTAATAAGGAGAGGAACTGGGGATGGAAGTTTCATTCAGTGAAATCTGAGATTTCAAAATCTGGCCTTCGTTCTGAATCATGGCAAAAATAGAGCATTTGGAAAGCCTCCAAGAAAGAATATTTTCTCCAAAAATTAATTTGGCACCAATTAAACCTTGTTTTGACTTTTGACTTTTTTAAACCCGATATTACAAAATGCATTTTTTTTTTAACTGAAACAAAAAGTTGCTCCAAAACCAGCAAACTGTGGAAGATCTGCCCCTAACATCCAGTCCCCCCAGCAGGGACACTCAAGTCACGAAGGCCCTCCAGCCACCTCCCCACCAGTCACTGAGGAGGGACAGGACACCTCACATGGCTTTTTTCAGAAGCAAACTGCCCCCTGAAGGACCTTATTCTTCCTTAATCATAAGCAGGATATGATCAGCATTAATTTACTTTCTCTTCATTGTGTCTGCAGTGAGGGGAGACAAATACGGGCTGAGCCATGTGGAGGAAGGCACGAATGGCTCAGGTGAACCCAAACCCATCTGGCCACCTCTCTGTTTGTCCTAAAAGGAGAAATACAGCACTCAACAAAAACAGACCCAGAAGCAACACAGCAGATCAGCCTCTGCACAGCACTGAGACTGCTGGGCACTCTACTTTGCCGACCAGCACTGGGAGCCATCTGAGGAGGACATGGCTTTTGGCTTTCCACATTGGCCAGGAATTTTAAATCTGACACACAGGCCTCATCACATTTACTTTGGTCTGATTCACCAGAAGAAACATTACTGTCTATTGTATGAAAGTGTAAATCTGGGAAAATGATCAAGCAGCTCATTTCATTAGAGGGTGAAGAAGCCAGAAGACAAATGCTATTTCAGTCTTGTGGCATTCAAGCATCTCACGCTAGGACCATGCTTGCTGTGCTTTGAGCTTGAAATCTGCCATATGAGGACAGTGTGCACAACACCAGGACCTGAGACATACACTTATGACTCTCATCCAAAGCACTCCAAGTAAGTTTTCTATTCCCTCCCCTAAAATGAGGATAAGATCATGTTGTACACAGAATGACTGCTGAACCCACTGGAAAGCTGGCAAGAAAAATTTGCCTAGCAGTACTTTCCTACACTGTATTAATTTTTAGTTAGAAAGGACTTTACTGAATATACCTCAAATTCTCACATACATACAAGGCATCCTTGTAAGTAAAAAAATTAGTTTTACTGTACTACACTGTGCATATCCCTTGAATTTTGACATGTGATTTTTACCCAACAGACTCCAGCTAATAACTATTCCTATTTTCTTATGGGTCACTGCCACATCCCATTAATAGTGGCCTTCTATGACGGCGTAACTGCGCCAGTGGACAAGGGAAGAGCCACTAATATCATCTATTTGGACTTCAGTAAGGCCTTTGACACAGTTCTGCATACAGACCTCATGCTTTAACAAAAATTTTTGATCACATCAGTCTTGAAAAGAAAAAGAGAAATGTTTTTATTTGCTTACATCAGCTGAATGAGTGCCCTCAAAGCTACCCATACCTAAACACTATATTATATCTAAATATCAACTTATCTGCCTAACTTAGCAACCATATCAGTATGCCTTGAGCTGTTTTTCTCCTTGCTGCAATACTGCAAAGCAGTGACACTGACAGCCTTTAAGGACACTCCTTGTTCCTGTGGAATGACTGCTGCTGGCGGAAGAAATTATATCAAATGACAGCAGTGGGAACAGAATTTGCCTGCAAGAGATTTGCTGAAAACAGGAATCCCTCGCATACCACATTCCTTGAGGTGTTTCCAACAATCTCTTGTACACAGGTTTATATTTCTCCATGATCACTCTTTGCTCACAGCTGTTAATTCCAACAGTGCTCCAGTGACCATCACTTTCTTAAGCAAAACCTGTGAGACTTCTTAAGACTCCCATCAGTCTTGCAACTCCCAACATGGCAAGTGAGTGGAGGAGCTCCATTGCCCGACATCCACAAGTATGGGCCTATATGACAGCAGCAGTTGCCAGTCCCCAGCAATCTGGCTGATTCAACCAGGATGGGCTGAGGCACCAGAGCTGCCTGTTCTGCTCATCCACTTCCATCAAGACTAGTTCTGCTCATCCACTTCCATCAAGTCTAGGGCAGCTCTGGTGGCCCTGTGACTCCACCTGCAGTGATCAGCAGAAGGACAGGTAAAATCTGAAGTGAGGACAGGACCTTCTTGCCCATTCTAATACACTAGTGGTTATCATCCCAAAAATATGTAGAGTGAATGAATAAATAGATCCCATTCACTAAGTTTGGCTGTACTGAAAGGAGATTTTTCGTAGCTTTAGTAGATTCTTCACACATTAACCAGGGCCATGTTGCCAGGTCAAGACTTTGACCAGGTTTGCCAGGTCCATGGAAGCAGCACAGCCAATGTTCATCTGTCCCTCTGCCCTCTGCAGCTTGGTAGTGATAGTCTGGGCCAAGCCAAGCATGAAGCTGTAAAGTAGGACTGAGAAATGAAGCATTTCTTTCTGTTCTCACTCTCAAGTCCCAGTGAGAAAACTGGAAAAAAATCCCACACAAAACAAAAATAAAAAGAAGATAAGAATGACCTCCCCAGATTTATCAGGCAATGTATTTAACGGGAGGGATAACCAAAGGCTCACTCTCAAAAGAACATTTCTGAAAAGCAGGAGCACAAATGAGTCACCATCTCTTTTCAGCTCATCCAGCATCCAGGATGGGAAGGATGAAGCCTCTCTGTACATTCACCCCAAACACCTCTGCAAGGAGCAGCTCCCCGTGGAGCAGGCTGAGCCCTGGCTGTTGTGTGCACGCCACAAATGCAGCTGCATTCGTACAAACTGGGCTCCTGTGCTGCAGAAAATGAGACAACACAGGTCTCCCCCACACTCTTCTCAAGGCTGCATTAACCCCTGCATGCTGGCCAAACGCCAGAGGAGCTGGCTACAAAATGCTCCTCCTGCAGTTTTGCTCATAAATGGCATGTTCCTGGCAGCTCTTGCAAACTTCTGCCATGTAAAGATTGAGGAAAGGCTGAGAAGCTGTAGGAGTTGATGCTCGGGGGAGTTGAAGTCTCTGGATTCGTTTTCTCATATGGTGATTAACAGGGATTTTTTGGTGGAATTAATAGCTGTAATGAATTTCAGTGTATTTAACAAGTGGTTCAGTGTGTGGTTACTCATGGTCACTGACCTAAGGGATGAAGAAGAGTTTCAACTCTGTCCTCCATTATCAGAGAAAGTCACTGCATGGTAGCTTTCATTATCCTACAGAAGTAAATCCAGCAGCTCAAAGATGCTCTGATTTACAGGTTGGGCACTGCCACTTCCATGTAGCAGTGAAGCTGTGAATGCCCCATCCCTGGAGGTGCTCAAGGCCAGGTTGGATGGGCCCTGAGCAGCCTGAGCTGTTGCGGGGCAAACAGCCCATGGCAGAGAATTGGAGCAGGGTGGGCTTTAAGGTTCCTTCCAACCTAAGGCATTCCATGTTTCTATGATTCTATGTCATGAAGCAGAAGCCAGGGAGAGTTTGACCTTCACAAGTTGAAAACTGTCACTGGTCTTCCATTCCACTTTCTTTTGGAGAGCAGGGGAAGTCATGCGGAACAGATGTTTTTTTTTTATACAACACACTCTCTTCAGGCTCCTGCTCCCTGTGCACATGCCCTTGTTCTGGGGAAACGAGAGCAGCAGCTTCCCCATCTTCCACGTGTGCTCCTCAGGGCTGTGAAACAACAGAGCAAGGGTTTCCCCTTCCTTAACTCCCGGAACTTGCACTGATTATTTCCTATTTTAATACCAAAGGACTTTCAGTCTGCCCAAAACACCACTCTGAAAAACATCTACTGAGCGTTTTTTTGGCTAGGTTCATTTGATGGGAACATTTCTTCATCTGGGATTTTTAGGCTGGAGATATGTGCACAAGTGCTGCACAGCACATCCACAGCACACTGCCACGAAGCACGAGGCTTTACTATGACACTATGAAAACTGTCTGCACATCCCCACTAATGGGCCCAGAGCCATGCAGGGTAAACTCAGATGGATGCAGCCTCCAGTCTGCCTCAGACACCTGAGAAAACAGTCCCTTGGAGGAACCCCTGCTCTGACAGAGGGGCTCTAAGTCCAGAAATCCCAGAAAAATACACAACATTCTCAGACTCCACCAAAACAAATTCTTCCTGTGATACGCACATCCTAAGCTTTCTCTTTGTCCTGTGCCTTTGAAATCATCCTCAGTCTCTCCCTTTTTGCAGCACCTGTCTCCTGCCTATAGTTCTTCTGATGCCTGTATGGGCCCAGACACCTTCATCGGTCACTGCTTCATGTCTTTCCTTAAATGAGCCCTTTTAACTGAAAAAACATCACATCATTACGATGAAACTAACAGGTTGTGAGTTCTCTACTGTGCCACATACTATGGCAGCATTTTTCATTCCACACAAATGCCGAGCACTTAATTTTTTGAGGTGTGCAGCCTGGCTTACGACAAAGAATAGGAGCTGTTGTCACCTTCTGTCCCCATCTCAGAGTGCACGACTGCGCCGCACTGCTGCACTGCTGACAGGGACTGCTGCAAAGAACTGAGAAGTGATGCCTGCAAGGGTGCTTTTCCTATTAGCAGAGTTCTACCACAATATTAATTCTGTAGTTGAAAAAACAAAACAAGCACAAGACCGGCTTAAAAATGGTAACATTTAGGAAGGTGCTAATGTTGGAGTCTTTCTATGCAGCTTTTGGTTTGGGGATGTTAAAGGCCATGTTTTCAAGTTGTTTTCCATAAACTTCTGAGCCCTCAGAGGAATGTTTGAGGCTGATACCCTGCTATCAAGCTCATCACCATATGCCACAGCAGCCCTGAGAACATGACTGAAGGGGAACCTGCTTTACATGTGCCCACTTTTCTATTCTTGGAAGCGCTCTGCATCACATTGGTAACATTTAGCTCTCTGGCCTGGACAGGAGAACTCCAAGCATTCAGCCTGTCTTACGTGATAGGATCCAAAAAGCTATATTTGCTCATAAGCTGAGGATTGATGGCAGCAATATGCCAAGTGCACAGCACGAAGTTTTACTGCTCGATATTTAACATTAGAAGCACAGAGCATGTTTGTATGCTGGAAAACAACTCAATTCAGTGCATTCTGGGGATTTACCTCCCTTTGCTGATACCATCACACATAAATACTGCCAGGCTATCTCTATATGAAGACAGCAGATCTCAATCTGCAATTTGCTCTGTGCAACGTACCCTGTTTAAACTCCAAAGGAGACAAATTGACATAGCAATGCTATTTTCTTAACAGACCAACCACTTAGATGCACAGCAGTATCTACACGCTCTGGCAGCATCTGCTAATATAGCAAAGCTAACACAGTCATAGAAAAGGTAACCAGATTCTCTTCTATTGGTGCACATACGCACCAATCTGCCAGCAGTGTTGCTGTGCTGGTGTCATTGGCACAGGTGGGAGCTACAAGGAGGTTCACCTGCACTTGGGCTGGCAGCAAGGCACACTGAGTGCTCTTAATAACTCGCAGTTAGAGGAGATGGCTGGCTCTCAGCTAACAATTTGCAGTTGCAGCTCATCTTCCAAGAAAGCTCTTGGTGCAGTAAATAAAACAGGATGAGCTGTACACTGGGTTTTGCTTCAGTAGGATTTAAGCCCACAAGGGCTTGGTCAAGCCAAGCCTTTCAGAATGCATACTACAGGTGCTCAAGATATTTAAGAGGTGATATGTGTCAGACAGCATCCAACTGCTCAGGTTTTGGTTTGCTTGGTCATCATCAGCACACAGTGGGACATGCTGCAGAACTGTGCTCAGTCATTAAGGAAGCCTAAAATTTGATTAGAAGGGGCAGCAGAAACCATGAAATCTTTGTTTCTGTAGCCCTTTGAGAAAATGAAGGCCCAGCTCTGCTCTTCCACCTGCTAGTCAACCCATGGCACTGACAAGTCAAAAGAGGTTGCTCTGAGCTTTTCCCAGCCAAGAGAAGAATTTGGCATCTCTAAAAATTATGTTCTTTGAAAGATGATTCCTGCAAGCAACACTCTGCAATTTCAGATAAATATTTATCAAAAATAAACTAAGTTATGATATCATTAACTCCCACTGCCTGATTCTGGAGCTCAGATAAAAAAAGCACTCCAAAACAATCCAGTCTGCGGCTTAAATCAGAATATCTGATGAATTAGCTGACTAGAACCAAGCCATAAGGAGAATAAGAATTAATAGCAAGGCATTTAACTTCACTTCAGTACATATACATGGGTGTGTACACATATGTACCTTGAAAATAGATTAACACAGTACTCACTCTGAGTGACATAAAGGCCCTCTGTTGACTTATCCTCATGCCCATCGAAGTCTCTGCTGGCAAGCTGCCTGTTGGCTGTCTCCAGTCGTTCTGCACAAAACAGGAAATAATTTAAGTATAAATATATGTATATAAAATTGTAGGCCAACCAAAAAAATAAGATGTGTGCCAGCAGTACAGTATAAATAGACTCTCTAAAGGAGAGTGTTTAAACGGAGGCTGACACATACATAAAAGATGAGACCTTTGACCTCTTCCATGAAGCTGTGCTGTTCAGACTTACAGAAGCTGGGGAGGGGGGGGAACCTCCGCCATCTGCAGCTAATATGTCCAAGCAGTTCATTTCTCATGCTGTCCAAAACGTGCAATACACTTGCCATCTGACTTCCCCCAGCTCTACAGGGAGATGGGTAACTTTCTACGGTGGAATGTGGTGCTGCTAGATGCCCTGGGGGAAGGCAGACACCTTGGTGACACCAATCCTTGGGATCCTGCTCCTTTCCCATGACAGGGATTCTGCAGCCAGGGATGACTTTCTATTGGAAGGGCAGCTAGAAGAAGGACATGACTTCCCTGAACCACTGCCAGCTGCCTTTTGGCACCCATCTCCACAAAACAGACCAGTCAGACTCCTCGTAGGAGTCTACACAAAGCATTTCATTGCATGAAGACGTAGCCATGTAATCCATCAGGCACCTGGACAGGTAACAGTTACTCCATTTTCATTCCCAAAAGGATATGCTCTCAATTTCATTTGTTTTCAGTACTAAAAAGAGATACCCTTTGATACTTGCTATTTCTTTGCTAAGATGCTGAACTTTGAGATATATGGGTTACACAGTGTTGGTCTACACAGGAACTTGCTCACTAAGCTCACTAAGGTTGGATGCGACTTTGGGACTGGCAGTCAAACTGACAATTGCAAGTACTACATGCAAAGGCATCATTCAAAGCTGTCTTTCATATTTTGCCGGAAGGTTTGTCTACAACCAGCAGAGTGACAGCAGTTCTGTCTTATGCCAATAAGCAGGGCCTGATTTCTCAAGGTTATCTAAAACATGTGAAAACACTCCTCTAAAGCCTGCTACTCTGGAGTTTGTGGAAAGTGAAGCACCACGTCAGCTGTGGAAAAAATCAAACACACAAATTTAACATACCACGGAGATCCCTGTTGAAATCATGAAGTCTCCTAATTTCTCCTTCCAGTTTGTTTCTCATCGCTTTGTCCAGAGACTCCCTTTTAGTGGTGGTCTTGACCAGGCCCTCATAAGCTTCTGAAATCCTCTGAATCTCTATTTCAAACTAGAGGAGAAAGAGGAGAGAGAGCTCCCATGAAAGCCCAGCAGGAAAGCATCCCATTCTAGCATTCACAGAATCACAGAATGGCTTGGGTTGGAAAGGACCTTAAATACCACCCAGGTCCATACATGGGCAGGGTTGCCACCCATTAGACCAGGTTGCACAGGGCCTCATCCAACCTGGTTTTGGCACTCTCCCAGAGCATTTTGATGGGGCACAGGTGCTGGGGCGATACCTGTGCCGAATGTCACACCAACCACTGGCTCTAAAATGAGAAATCCTACACACCACCAGAAATGTTATAGGCTTGACTCTGACCTGATTTCAGCTCTGAACTACTGTAGTCCAATCCTTTATTTCCTTGGCTGAAGACTGCTCCGCAAAGGAAGAAACTCTCTACAACAGACCAAAACAATTGTTTCGGATTTCCAATCTTTTAAACACAATCTCCTTGACTTTTGGAAAATGTGTATCTTAAAACCTAAACCCAAAAGACTGACAGGAGGACAACTCCAGGCAGGCTTTTGTTGTTCTGGTCAAACAGATTCAGCTCTTTTAATCAGCTAGATTAATGTAAGGTATTACAGCTCAGCTGAACTCACCGCTGAAGGAATTATTAACATCAAGGTGGGAATCTGCTCCTGCATGCCTCACTCTTGTGTTTGTGGAGAAAAGCCTGATAATGTGCATGGGCTGGAAAACCAAGAGATATATATAGCCTTCCACATACCTTTCTAAATCTGGTGCTTTTTTAGCTCCTTCAGCCATTGGTGGGATGGACTGGTGATTTGTCAAGCCAGAGTGCAGGCCCACCTCTACCTAACTCTCTCCAGGGCTTATTAAGCTTTAGCTTTAATTTGCCAGCTGCAGCATTAGCAGAATACAAGCTCCAGCACCAGGGATGCAGTCACCCCTCAGGAACCTAAAGGCAGGCTACAGCAGCCTGAACCCACGCTTCCTTGATGCCAGGGCCAGACACAGCCTTAGGCACCTCTGATCCACACACAGAGCAAAGCCTGTAGAGCTTGCACCTAAGGGATGCTGGGAATGCCCAGCTCCCCAGATTTCTGCTGTCAGCTCACTTAGGCACAAAAACTAAAACAAACGAGAAGATACAAAGCCAAAGACACCAGCACTGACACCACCCTGTGACCCCCGCACCTTTGGATCAGCAGCTGACCTTGCTCACACCACATCACCTATCTCACACAGGTGGTGATTTACCAGCTTGCAGGTATTTCACACACACAGGCTGCTTTCCTAAATGCGTGACAGTAATGGAACCATAGGCACGTTAATTTCAGCCAGTAATTCTCTGTGGCTCCATGAAGAGATTGAAGTGGTTTTATCCCATACTGTGACACTTTTTCTTAAGTGAACTACAAACCATTATTCTGACTTTCCATTTTTGTTTTTCAAAGCAGGACCACCAGGAAGTCCTGCTACATTTCAGATGATCAAACCTAGAAAAGTAGGTCCCTCCTTTTTCCACTCCGCTGGGACAAGAACAGACAACAAATGTGTTTCCACCATGGGGACAGCACACTCGGAGGAATGCTGCGTAAAACCTACCTGCATTGCTGTAAAGCACATGCAAAGATTCCTTTTATCCTTTCCTGGCAGTGAACTTATTTCCCATCAACAAGAAATCAGTATTAAAAATATCATGCACTAGAAAAAATCTTCATTTGAAACTCAGCCTGAATCTGACTGTGGTTCAAAAACAGACAAGGAGTTCTCTTTTGCATGGAATCAAAAACTGATTTGGGTTGAAAGGGACCTTAAAGACCACCGAGTTCCACCCCTCCTACCATGGATAGGGACACCTTCTACTAGGCCAGGTTGCCCAAAGCCCTATGCAATCTGTCCTTTTTGAGGGATGGGGTATCCACAGCTTCTTTGGGAAACCTTTTCCAGTACCTTGCCACCCTTTAAATAAAGCAGTTCTTCCAAAAGTCTCATTGACATCTCCCTCCTTTTAGCTTAAAGCCATTAGCTCTCGCCTTATCACTACACTTCTGGATAAAGAGCCCCACTCCAGCACCTTTCTAGTGTCATTATGTGTATTTTTCCTCACACACATAACAACACAAGCTTATACAAGCATGAACTTTCATGAGAAAATCTGTTTTGTGTGAATTTTGCAGAATCAGAGCATATCAAGTAGTTACTCAAATAACAGCACCGTTGCAGCTACTTAGGGCTATGGCTTTTCCTTTGGATCAGTGTGACCTCTGCTAGCTTTACTCCTGCAAGTACTTAGAGGCTATCTATACTCAAGCTACCCTGCATCATTCTCTGTGACCATTTACAGAAAACAAGCTTCTCTAACTCTCTTGGAACAAAGATTTGGCTCAGCAAAATTAATTTTCAAGGCATGCCCCTTTATTCATAACATGATCCCAGGAGGGCACCGTGCTCAGTTGGGTGCCCCAAGACCTTTTGTGCTTCCCTTCTCACACTCAGCTGTTATCCGAAGCAGACGATGCCTGCTCCAGAGAGCTCCTACCACAGCAGAGCAGATTTTCCAACACAGCAGGGATTTCCCCAGCCCAACAGCCCTGCTTCACACTGCTGGTTAATGTGGGGGCTCTGCTCTGCTCAGTCTCTGCTAAGATACCCATCTTTCCCAAAGGACGTCACCATGCAAGCTTCCTTCATCCACAGAGGCAAAGACTTCAGCAAAAACCTCCATCAACAATGAATAAAATTACAGGACAGCAGAACAGTTATAAGTTATGCTGACGTTTCTGAGCAGCTCTGAGACTTCCTTTCTTTTCTTCTGCTGAGGCTGCATCTAGAACTGACCTACTCAAACAACCTCCAGAAACAGCATGGGAAAGCACCAGCCCAGCAATTAAAGCTCAGCAAGGTTTGTCCACCAAAAAGCAGCAGAAAAAGCAATGCTCTGCTTTACTGAAAAAGCTAAAAATAATGTGCGCCCTTCCCCTCCAGCTCTTTTTGATAAGAAAACCAGACATCACATCAAGCAGCACAGGGATTAATCGCTGCCTTGTACCTTTCTGCAGAATGTCTGTTCAGACATGACTTAGAATCTGACAGCCCTCTGGGTTGATCAGCTCATGTGAACGCTCGGGGAGCTTTGCGTCAAGCTGATTTTCTCTGATTTCTTCTCCTAATTCTGTTAAGAGAATAGAAGTGCAGGGAGGGTTGCCCTACCTAGAATAACTTTGGTACACACAGACAAAAAGAAGTACTTCTCATAACTTTTCCACTTTCAGCAACAGAGAAGATCTTCCACACCTAACATACAGAATTTAACTCCATTGGTTTTTCAGATGTGGTGTTCAGCTGTGGGAACACAGAAGGACCTGCCCTGGCCACGTGCTCAAACACGGAAAAAAAACCCACAGATAGCATAATGTGTGTGAAGGTTTTGGTTCAGGAAATTTTCCTGAAGGAAGAATGCACTTGAGCATGTGTTTTGCTTTAAGAGTCTGCTTACATTCCCGCAAAGTCAATGGGATTCGAGTCCACACTGTTGACTGAAGTGAGACTTCAGCCCCATGCCTGAATACCTTTCTGTTGGTGTCTGATGCAATCAGCTTGCAGGGCATCCAAAATAAAGAGCAAGCCATTTCTAGGAGTGTGAAAGGGAAGCTGAATGTTTTTAGGGCATCATACATAGCTTCTACTGAACAACGCAGCTTTTGTGAAATTAATAAATGGAATATTTACTTTTGCCCACAAAGGCCATGGGGAAGCCTTTACAGCTATACTCACAAGTAACGCTGCTGAAAAAATGTTTTGACTAACTTTAGGAAATTCTGTGAATACAGCACAGAGGAGGTTGCAAAGTTAGCAGCAGCTACAAAACAACATATCTCTTTTTAAACCTTTCTGGACTTTCTAGTCAAAGATTTTCCTAAATCTGGGTCTTGAGACATGGTCTCTCAGTGCTGGCTCTCCTGTAGAAATGTGTCTCTGATAAAACACAGCACAGAAAAACAGAACTCCTAAATTCAGAGAGAGAAGACCAGAAGCCTAATGTCATTTCTGCCTATGTGGTGAGAAGTCATAAATGAAAGAGTAGCACAGGATCCTAAATTAGAATGGGAATTAAAATAGTTCAGTTGGAAGAGACCTACAAAGACCATCTAGGCCAATTGCCTGACCACTCCAGGACTAACCAAAAGTGTATTATTGAGAGCATTACCTAAATGCCTTTTGAACACTGACAGCCATGGGGCATCAACCACTTCAGTGGGAAGCCTGTCCTAGCATCTGACCTCTCTTACAAGTGACCGGACCCATTCACTCGCACCCTTTGAGCTCTGCCCTCCAGCCAGTTCCCTTCCCAGCACAGGGTGAACCTCTTCATCTCACAGTTGGACAATCCACGCAGAAGGATATTCTGCTATGAGGTACTCTATCTAATGTCCAGAAAGATTACCACTGCCTTCTTTTAATTCACCAAGCTTACCTTACCATAGAAGGAGATCAAATTTAATTAAAGGAGGACTTTGCCATCATGAAGCCATATCAACAATGTCTGACAATAGCATTATTCTGTGCCCTTCAGTAGCACCTAGGATAACTTTCTCCATGGCTTTTCCAGGTACTGAGTTTACACTAACAGGTCTGTAGTTTCCAGAGTCTTCTTTCATGTCTTTCTTGTAGACAGACTGCTATCTTCCAATCAGCAGGAGCCTTCCTGGACTCTCAGGACCTTTGGTAAATAGTTGAGAGGGATCCAGCTATAACATCTGCTAAATCTCTCTGTACTCTGGGATGAATGCCATCCGACTCCAAGGATTTACAAGCCATCAGCTGATACAACTGGTCCCTGACAATTTCCATGACCATAAATGAAAAGTCACTGCTCCCCTCAGTCACAATCCTCCAACTCAGAGGACTGGGCAACTCAAGATCTACTAAGGCAAAAAGAGGCATCCTTACTTGTTAGGTGTCCATAAAGTATCAGCTCAATGTTTCCTTTTTGCTATTGACATAATTCTGTTGTCTGACACCACACTGGCCAATATCAATCCAAACTGAATTTGTTTTTTCTTGTTTTCTCCCCGCAGATGAGAACCACAGCTCTATAATCTTCCTGTGAAGCCAGATCTTGCTTCCAGAGATCATATTCTTTCTTTTTCTTAATAATTACCAGGAGGAGTTCCTTATTCAACCAAACCAGTCACCTGTCCCAATTGCTTGCCTTGTAGCACAGTGGTGATTGCTGGTTCCTGGGCTTTTAGAAGGTGGTTCTCCAAAACTGATCAGCTTTCATGGACCCCTAGACTCTCCAGAGCAGATGCAAATGAGTTCCCTGAGAAGCTTAAAGTTTGCTCTCTTAAAATCCAGGATGACAATCCTGGGGACTGTTATTTCTCATTACTCCAAAGATTTTGAACTCAACTAATTAATCCATGATCACTGTCGCCAAGAGAACTTAGCTACCTCCACATCTCCCACAAGGCCTTCCCTATTCTTAACAAACAGATCCCAGAGGGCATCTTTCCTAGCTGGCTTACTAAATACTTGTGACAGGAAGTTATCTTCAGTGTGCTTTAGAAATTTCCCAGACTTGCCTGTCAAAGCAGCATGGTATTCAGTTTATGTAAATAATTCATACGGTCCTGGGCCCCAGGGACCCAAAGCCAGCAGGCTTGGGAGCACCTCTGCATCAACTTTGGTGAGACCCCACTTTTAAGCAACATCTGCTTTATCTAATTTTCAACTGTCTTTCCTTGTCAACCCAGGCAGTGCATGAGACATCACCTTTCTTTGCTGAAAATGCCCACTGTGCATACAGGAAAGAGGGTACAGGAGCTCTCCACAAATGGGTTTTTGAGCAAATATTTACCAGATTCATTCAGATAAAGTGACAGTTGTTTTTGAACCAAAACATTCAAACACACCTATCTAAGATTAGCTTTTAGGAATTCAGAGCAATCACTGAAGACCTCTCTGATAATCACACTATCCAAACCATGTCTTTTGGTTGTCCAACCACACCAATCTTCAAACCACATCAACCCCATCACTGTCTGCTAAGCCTTCATAGAGTGGAGTGCCATGCTAGCTCATTGTATGAAACACTCAGGATAGCCGTGGTCATGCTCTTCAAATGCTTCTTGTATACAGCTCTACTGCCTGTGCAACTTGGCTGCCCTAGAACACCCTGCCTGCATGAGGCACATTCCAGCAAAGCTGTCACGGAACATACGGCTTGGGTTGTAAGGGACCTTAAAGATCATCCAGTTCCAATATCCCTGCTAAAGGTCAGGCTGTCACCCAGTACATCAGGGTCCCATTCAATTTGGCTTTGAAAACCTCCAGGAATGGGGCATTCACAGCTTCTCATCCAGAGGGTGGTGACACACTGGAACAGGCTGCCCAAGGAGGCTGTGGATGCCCCATGCCTGCAGGCATTCAAGACCAGCCTGAATGTGGCTCTGGGCAGCCTGGTCTGGTGGTTGGTAACCCTGCACAAGCAGATGGGTTGAAACATGATGATCATTGTGGTCCTTTTCAACTCAGGCCATTCTATGATTGTATGATTTTCTGAGCAATCAGAGAAGGATGGAAAGTTCCCAAATGAAGGATGCTTGATGAGCTGCCTTGCTACACCCTACAGGCAGAGGAGCCTGTGGGCACCGGGGCACGGTATTATGCTTACGGGACACCACCACTGAGAGGCAGTGGTGAGAGACTGGTCGCTGGTATGTTCCTATTGCAGCGACAGAGCCATGAACAATCTCTTGAGGAACCCAAATGCAGGAGCACTGAGACTGTTCCCTATCCCCACATCTCCACGTACCTTCTGCAGCTTGTCTGCCTTCTCATAGTACCCCTCCAGCTCCTGCCGCAGCACGTGGTTCTCCTCGGAGAGCATCTCCACCATCTGCTGCGCCCTCTCCACGATGGCGAAGGCGTCAGGTGTCAGCTGCTGGCCAGGTGGCATAGGTGGCTGGGCAGTGGAGGGGGCTGGCAGTGGAGGCAAGGAGCCTGGAAGCAGAGGGCCGGCAGCGGAGGAGGCCTGCGAGGACATGGGGCTGTGCTGCTGGGCCGGCGGCGGCGGGAAGGGAGGCTGGCATTGTCGGCTGCAGGAAAGCACAGGCAGGGATGCGTTAGAGCTGCTCACCCTCAAGATGCACGCAGGGGCTTCCACATAATTACTGCAGGGTTTATTAATAGGGTTATAACTGTACAGTCATGATTTAGTCGCTCCTAAATACCAACAATCGCAGCAGGCACTGGGTAAATTGTCTCCTTGCCTGTTGTTGACATTGATGTATGCATCTGGTGCGAAGGGATAAAGGAAGCATTGAGTCAAAAGCAGCATTTTTAACAAGGTGCACAGCTAATATTTCAGCCCTCTGCCAGCCTCTCCCTGCCCCCACCTCAGCACAAACCCCACCACAGAGCAGCTTAAGCCCACGGCTGTGACTGGAGCCCAAGGGATGAATTACTCACCTTTCAAAAACTGGCCCCTGCCTGGAGCGAGCCGAGGGGCTGAGCGGCCAAATTTGGAGGTGAAAGGAAGTGATGTGAGCAAAGCAGTGTCCCTGCACGACTTTAGTGAGCATCAAAGGGAAGGGCTGCTGCAGAGCTGCTGGAAGCACAGCCTGATCAATCATCCCGTGCAGTGAAAGCTGGGTGAGACCTCATTGTGTCACTCCACGACAAATGGCATCCATCACCCACCAGCCTTATACCAGGGAGAAGAGCTGATCCCAGCCCTTGCAAACTGCTTGTGGGCTGTGCTTCCTGGTGATAGATTGCTCTTTAATCCTCCACAGCCAGTTGGCAGTGGCTGGAGGATAACCCAGGAGCACGTTTTGGCAGGGAGGGTAATCCTGAAGCTGGTGCTCAGGTAGGACCACAGTCATGGAACGGATTGTGTTGGAAGGGACCCCAAAGATTAGCTAGTTGGGCAGGGTTGCCACCCATTAAATTAGGCATTTGATCAGACCACTCAGGGCCCCATCCAACCTGACCCTGAACACCTCCAACAATATGGCAATACCTCTAGAGAGGGGGTGCAAGTCATTCTCTGACTTCCATTCTGCCTTTCACTCCTGCAAGATCAACAAGCAATGCAAACCCTCTTTACAAAGGGAGAACTGAGGCAGAGAGGGAGCTCAAAGCTTCTCCCATCCCTCCAGACACACCCAACCAGGCCAGTTTTGACCTTGGGGACCTGGCCAAGGTAGGCAGCCACACGCAGAGCTCCTCAGCCAAGACACCAAAGCTAAAACACGGGCTCCAAAATCAACATCACTTCTCATTAAGTGGCTCAGCCTAGGCCCCATTTTCTCTGCTCTACCTCAAGACCTACAAGGCATATTTTAGCTCAACCTGAAGTCCAGCAATCAAGCACTCTTTAAGAGGTGTATTTTGGCTTCACCGCAAGCTGTCGGCCTTGCACAGCCCACGCTGCCCTTATCTCCATACCGTAAGGAGATCTAGCGGATGGACGCATTTACCCTCACAGATCTATGAAGACTGTTCTGCAGGCAGACAGTTTTGTGCTATGTAAATACATAATAAATATGATGACTGCTGTGTACACAGCATCTCAAACAGGGGTTTTCAAAAACTCCCAGCGTTGACCTCATTCTGCTTCCAATGATAATAACCCATCACTACCTGCAATCGCAGCAGAACAAGATGAAAAGTGAGCACACTTTTAAAATCCTGCCCTAAAAGCTAACAGACTGAAAATGAGCTCCCTCCGGCCTCAGGATGGCTTTCACCTGCCCCAAGCAGCCATGCCCTGAGGCTGGCTGTCCCCTTCTGAGGGGCGCAGCATTCAGCCATGCCTGCAGGAAGGTCTGCTGCCTTAGCACAAAGAGGGGCACGGTGGAGGCAGGGTGCCACTCCAGCACAGTGTGCCAGGAGGCCTTGGTCCCCTGCATTTCTCATCAGCCACAGCGCCAGAAAGGAAAGGAATGTGCGCACCCCTCCCATGGTGACTTCCTGGCTGGTGGGCCTGCAGGCCACAGCCTTCAGACTGAGCTCAGCAAAGCCTGGGCTGCAAAAGGAGCCCCAATTTCCATTAAAATGTCCTCAGCGTGATGGGTCTGAGGCTCCAGAGCTACACACCAGGTTAAGATGCTGGTCCTTGCTCACCTGTTTTTGCAGTTTGCTGCCTTTGCAGGCAGTCACAAAACCATGGAATGGTTTGGGGTTGAAAGGGACCGCTGGAAGTTTGGTGCAGCTCCCCTACAGCTTTTAGGTGTCTGCAAGAAGACCCAACAGCCTCTCTGGGCAAACTGTGTCAGTCCTCCATCTACCATACAGCTTTGAAGCACATCCTGGAAATTCTGAAACCTCCCTATTCCTGTTTGTGTTCACTGCCTCCTGTCCTGACACTGGGCACCACTAACAAGAGTCTGGCTCCATCCTTTTTACGCTCTCCCCTCAGGCATTTATGGACATTGATGAGACGGGAAGTTCTTTACTATGAGAGTGGTGAGGTGCTGGAACAGCTGCCCAGAGAGGCTGTGGATGCCCCATCCCTAGAGGTGTTCAAGGCCAGATTGGATGGGGCCCTGGGCAACCTGGTCTAGTATATGTGGAGGTTGTTGGACCTGCCTGTGGTAGGCAGGTTGAAGATTCATGATCCTTGAGGTCCCTTAAGCCCGGGCCATTCTGTGAGGTCCCTGAGCCTCCCCTTCTTCAGACTGAACAGTCCAGATGTAATCCTTTCCTCATAGCAGAGGTACTCCACTCCCTCATCACACTGGTGACTCTCTCCAGCATGCCTATGCCTCTCCTGTTCTGGGGGGTGCAGAACTGCACACAGGACTGCAGGTGCGGCCTCACCAATGCTGAGCAGAGGAGAAGCATCACCTCCCTCACCCTCCTGGCAACGCTCTGCCTGATGCAGTGCAGGATGCTGCCAGCCTTCTTAGCATCAAGAGCTAACTCAGCATCAAGGGCACATTGCTGACTCATGTTCAGCTTGGGGTCTCCCAGGTCCTTTCCTGCCAGGCTGCTTTCAGCTCGTTGGCTCCCATCACATCCTTATGAAATAATCACAAGGGTTGCAGGGGTTGGAAGGGACCTCTGGAAACAATCAGGTCCAATCCTCTGTTAAAGCAGGTTCCCTACAGCAGGTTACAAAAGAAACAACCAGACAGCTCTTGAATATCTCCAGAGAAGGAGACTCCACAAGCTCCCTGGGCAGCCTGTTCCAGTGCTCTGTCACAACTGAGCCATGCTAGCATGGATTTTGCTGCTGCCATGGCCAAAGGACAAGGATACAATGCTTAGCCAAGACAGGCAGTAACTGCTCCTCTAAATCCACTGGATCTACAGAAGAATATCTGCTGCCAGCTGAAATATTTGTGCAGAAACAGACCCACAGAGGGAGAGCAGATCAGTATCTGTTGCACAGAAGGGCAATGAATCTGTGAAAAGTCTGGAGCCCAAGTCCGTGGAGCTGAGGGAACTGGGATTGTTCAGTCTGGAGGAGACTCAGGGAAGTCCTTATCACTCTACAACTTACAGGAGGTTGTGGTGAGGTGGGGGTTGGCCTCTTCTCCCAGATAACTGATGAAAGGTAATAGCCTTAAGTTGTGCTAGGGGAGGTTCAGGTTGGGTATTAGGAACAATTTATTCTCAGAAAGAGTGGTGAGGCACTGGCACAGGCTGCCCAGGGAGGTGGTGCAACCACCATCCCTGGAGGTGTTCAGGACCCATGGAGATATGGCACTGAGGAACGTGGTTAGTAAGCATGGTGGGGATGGGCTGACCAGGTGATATTAAAGGTCTTTTCAACCCTAATGTTTCTATGATCTGATTCAGGTGCTAGTTGAAGAGACCATTTTAATCCAGGGAAATTTCTTACTGCTCAGAGCACAGGAGGTGGAGGCAGCACTGAGATCACCAGGAGGACTGGGTACAGCATGGAAGCTGTAAGGACTGTGTTAGTGTAGCTGCTTGGCTCTGCTCCCTCTGGATTCATGGAGAAACTTGAAGCATCCATCTCCCCTTCACAAAGATGTCCTGCAAAAAGTCTGTGAGGCTAAAGCCCCAACAGCACTGTTTCTCACAGTCCATAAGCACGCTGAAATCAGGCATGTACACAGTGAGCAGCCTCATGCAAACATCTTCAGCAGCTGAGTCCTCTCCGTCCTCACCGCTTCTGCCTGTAGCTGGGTCTGGGCCTCACAGCAGCTGCTCCAGGGGTCATAGTGAGCTAAGGGCTTGTTTTATCTCCCTGAGACCAACCAACACCACGTGGCACAGCCCTCACAGTATCTTCACAGGGATCTTGCACTCATGCAGGACTGAAATACTGTTCGCTTGAAAAACTGCACAACAAACAATACCATAAGCAGTGGAACAAGGGATGTCACTCACAATGCAAAAGGTGCTCCATAAACTTGTGCAAATGCAGCTGACAGCCAGTCTGCACTGTGATGTGTTACCACAATTAGTGCAGCTAAGTGGGAGCTAGCTCTGTCAAAACAAAAGACAGCTGGTTTAACACATGTAAAAGCCCTGCTGTCTGGGCACAGTTATATTGCTATGAAGGACACACTTGCTACAGATACAGATTTTCTCACTTCTGCATGGGAATAGCTTTGAGCAACATAACACACTTTTCAATTGATCTCTGAATCTAATCCAGGTGAGATAAAGTGATTTTTCTTTTCTTTTTCATGATCAAGTACTGCGATCTCCTGTTGTAGATACACCCTCTGAACACCTGAGACTATACTTGTGGGAAATCCAACCTCCCATCACTAACCTTTTCACACACACTTCATCTGCTTGGCTTTATTCCCAAGAGTGAGGAGAGGTGCTCAGGACCTCCATTCTCTTGAAGGGTGAATCACACACTGAGTTATTATAGGTTAGCAGCAACAGTCAGACCCCAGCATCCTTACAGCTGGGGCTGCAGGAGAGATTCTCTGAAGCGTTCTCCAACTTGGGACATAGAACCAGCACACACACGGCTCCTTCTGAAGCGTGGCTGTTCAACATAATGGGCATTACCCAGTTCCAGCTTCCCTTTTACTTATTTAATCTGTCCTAGTTTAATTATGACTTAGTCAACGGTGAAGTGCCTCAATGTATATACGATAAAATCAACACAGCAAGTCAAATTAATAAATCAACATTTGTAGGAATAGGAGCTTTGTTCACATTTGACCTCTTTAGAACTCAGAAGAAACAAAGCAATCAGGATTATCCTGAACTCCTTTGGACTTAGTAAAGAATGACATTCTCAAAATGTTTTTGCTGTACTTTAAACACCGATCTTGCTCTACATTAGAGCAGGCTAAAACCTTCCAGCCAAGCACAGTTCCATCAAAAATTGTCTTTTTTAAAAGCATGAAACTGGGGGATATCCCAAGGTTTGGATAGGCTGCAACACAGCAGCAACATTTATATTGAAAACATATAATTTTGCTGGCATTCTTCTAGAAATAGGGCTTTATCAATTTCTGCAATGCAATACAGAAAGTGAAAAAAGAAAGAAATTGGCTTCTAGCATAGAGAGACACAATCAGGCAGACAGACAGAGGGCTTTCCCTGGGATCACTACATTGCACTGTCTCACATGATATACAGTTTGCAGCACATGTAACAGCTTGCAATACAGTTTCTTCAGCAAAACTCTTCACCAGGGACCTCACTGCCGTAAGAAATCTGACAGAATTCAGCAAGGCCATCCACAACCCTACATTCAGACACAGCCTTAATACACCTGTTGGAACTCCTTGGGAAGAGAGAGGTCAACACAAGACTGCTGAGGGCAATGTGTAACTGAATAAAGGAATCAGAGACCAACTAATGATAAAGTCTACTCACTGACTCCCAGGAAATCACAAATACAGAAGATCTTGCATCTATCCTCAATAAAGCAAGGCAGCATTCAGAAGTAATAAAACTAAAATCCTTGGAAATGTTCTGGGAGGGAAAGTCTACCTCCGCACTGGTTCAGGTACAACTCAGGTCACCTCTGTGCAGGGACAGAAAACAGACAGCTGAGTAAGGATGTAGGCTGCAACCTACCGTGATGCCCTGGAAGCATTCAGTGCCAGGCTGTGTGGGGCTGTGAGCAACATGATCTAGAGAGAAGTGTCCCTGCCTATAGCAGGGCTGGATCTAGGTGACCTTAAAAGCCCCTTCCAACCCAAACCATTCTAAGACTTACAATAGTATTTAAAATGCTCTCCTCCAATCTCTGTAGCTTATCTTTCTCTGAATGCTTTGCCTTCCCTAGCCTTCAGGGCAGACTGGCTTGTTCAGCTTTCACAGGATTTCACCTCACATCCATATCTGCTGTGGATGCTGCACCTAAATGCAGTGATACCTACACATGGGGAAAAGGCAGGACATCAGAGAAGTCAGTAAGTCCAGTCTGCTGGTCATAGTGCAAGGAAACAGCCTAGATATCCATTACTAAATGCTGATGCTGCCAGAAACAGGAGAAGACTTTCAGTAGCCAAAGCACAGTCTTTATAATATCCTGTTTTATGGGAAAAGCAACAGTCCAAGCACTCTGGTTTATTTCAAAACCAATTTGCACACTTGGACTCACCTCTAGAATTCAGTGTTTTGTTAGTGATGCCTGTTAGTGCTGGAAAGTTGTCATCCAACTACTTTGGAGGTGATTGTGTTATGTTCTGCATGGAAAAATCATTTAAAAAGACACACCATATCTGCCTTAAGTCGAACCAGAGGAGGTTCAGGTTGGATATTAGGAAACATTTTTTTCTCAGGTAGAGTGGTGATGCAGTGGCACAGGCTGCCTAGGGAGTACAGTCACTGCCCCTGGAGGTGTTCAGGATCTGTGGAGATGTGGCACTGAGGGATGTGGTGAGTGGGCATGGTGGGGTGGGCTGGGATTAAACTAAGTAACCTTAGGGGTCTTCTCCAGCCTTAATGATTCTGTGATTAAACATATCCTCCACAGTTAAAAAAGGATACCTTATTTCGTCACAGGGAGTCACATGAAGAACAAACATCCTTTCTAAAGCCCAGTTAATTTCCAGCAAAGGAAAAGGTGTGCTCCTCAGCCACATTTTTCTGCACCTTCACAGAGGATGCAACTGGGATAAAAGCAGAGGAGAATGAGAAATGACACTGGCTTCACAAAAGCTGCTGGAACAGTTTCATCTCTTCTTTATTTTACTGAAAGACAGACTAGACCAGGAGATGATAGAAATCTCTTCTGCAGGGACACTGTCAGCCTCCAGGACATGATGCAAGCCTTCAGCCTTCCCTATGGCTGCCAGCACCCACGCCAGCCAGCAGCGCTGCCTCAAACCATGCTTACATAGCTGCTGACCTCACTGAAACACATCGGCCAAAGTCAGCGTGGGTGCCCAACACTGGTGCCAGTGCCAGTGCCATCCCTCAGCTCCACCAACCCTCACTTTCCTGGGCACCTCAGGGAGTGAAAGGACCACACTGTATCTCCTTGGCGGGTGCAGACATGTGGTTGAATGAGTAACTATAAACAGGTTGTCTGAAAGCAGCAGTGACGTGTGGGGCAGGTTAAATACACACACATCTGGAGAAGCCACAGGCTGTCCCAGCAGTTAAGTATAGGCTTCTATATCCAGGCCAGGTGGAACGTTTTTGAGTATATAAAACAGTGTCATAGCTTTAAAATAGCCTAAGTCCATTTGTCAGTTTCATGCTGTCTTTTAAAATACATGGATTAAATCAGAATTAAAAGATGACCACATGAAAGACTTCCTCACATCACCACAAATGAAGACCCCTCAGCAAGGAGTGTTGTTTCAGTTTAAGGCCTCATTCACATTAATTGCATGAGGAAATCATACAGGACTGGACTGGTGCCACGGGGGGCAATGAAAAGGATTCACTGCTCACCCTGAGCGATGTGGATCGCTGCTTAAGCAGAGCATGAAGAAACAATATGCACTTGTGCACGTCCAAATACAAGCTCATCCACTCAGGAATAAATACAGCAGGCTACAAGCAAAGAGTGGGGAACCCTATCCTGGGCTGCCACTACCCTCACATGTCTGAGTGGGTAACAAGCTGAATGGTGAGCTCCTCACAGGCCAACCTCTGACACGGCAAGTGTTTATGAGATACACAAACAAGGAACTTTGAGCCATGTTGCAGAGGTGATGTTATGTCTTATTTGCCTCGTGTCTGGTTAAGTTTTCTATGAGAAAAGGCTATGGGTTGGGTTGTTGGATTTCTTTTTTTTTGAAAGCAGTAAAATAATTAAGGGACTCCAGGCTCCATTTGTTTAATGCATTAAAGAAAGGACAGCACAGCGCTCCTCACTATCTGACAAAGATATTGCAAAATCCAGACTGGTAACTAGAAAATACAGGCTGGAACTAAGACACAGATCTGTGCCAGAAGGGGCAATTAGCGAGTGGAACAAGTCTGTGATGGATTCTCCAGCTGGAGAATGTTACAACCACCAGACCAAACGTTGTGAAAACCGAAATTAATTTGTGGTTTTGTGTGATCAAATTAGACTATTTCAAACCCCTTTTACCTGACAAGCTGTGAGCTCTCTGAGCATGCACCTCAGGAAAATTAGCATGGATATTCTTCAGGAACAGATGTGCTAGAAGCTAGCAACGAGGAAAGGAAAAGTTTTTTCAAGACTATTACACTTGGCCAACTTGAAGCATTCAGAAGTTGTGAGTCAGGGCGCAAGGCACCATAACCAATTGAAAAATACTGATAATTTAAAATAAGAATAAATATTGGCTCCTCTTTATTTGCCTTATGGGCTTTTGGCCTTTTAAGCCGCAGGCTTTAAGCTCTGCTCTACAATCACGGTCTCCACAAAGGACAGGTCACCAAGTGTAATTTATATAAATACCATGACTCCTGCAGAAGCCTACGAATAAGAGGTCTTCAGAATAACACTGAGTATCTAGATTTAGAATAGAATAGTTGAGTTCAAAGAATCCTAGAATGGCCTGGCTTGAAAAGGATCTCAAAGATCATCCAGTTTCAACTTCCTTGCTATGTGCAGGGTCACCAACCACCAGACCAGGCTGCCCAGAGCCACATCCAGCCTGGCCTTGAATGCCTCCAGGCATGGGGCATCCACAGCCTCCTTGGGCAGCCTGTTCCAGTGTGTCACCACCCTCTATGAAAAACTTCACCCTAATATCTAACCTAAACCTCCCCTGTCTCAGTTTAAAACCATTCCCCCTTGTCCTTTCACTGTCAATCCACGTAAACAGCTGTTCCTCCTCCTGTTTATATGCTCCCTTCAAGTACTGGAAGGCCACAATGAAGTCTCCCCAGAGCCTTCTCTTCTCCAAATTAAACAATCCCAGTTTTATCAACCTTTCTTTACAGGACAGTGTTCCATCCCTCTGATCATCTCAGAGGCCTTGTTGGAGGGAGCTTCCAAGATCATCTACTCCAACCCCACTACTCGTATCTGTAGTATCAAATCCTACACCCTGTTTTCAGTCCTACTGCTATTTACAGACAAGTTATGAGATTTCACCACTGTGACTATAAAGGCAGCATTCCCTTTGACAACCAGCCACAGGAGAACAAACAAACATCAAATTAAGCAGCAGCTGTGGTTATTCCATCTCCCTCAGCAGTTACCTGCCAATATGTGTGGGTCCCTAGCCACACTTCCCTCCTCACATGAGGACTTGTGGGGCAAGGCAGGGAATCAGTGGCCCTACAGGTCATTTCCAATCCTGATATCTGTGGGTTTTTCCTACAGATCAGTGCAGCTTTGTGCTTTTCTCCTCTTTTCTGGCATGCAAAGCTGCATTCAATCATGAGATTTCTCAGTATCACCCCCACTGACCAGGTCCCTGGAAAAGTTTTGACACCAGCATCAAAGGGTTCCTTATTTGACAGCAGTGCCATTCCCGGTTAGCCACAGAAGTTAGCACAGTGCCCAGGTCTGCTTGGCTATATGGACTCAGCAGAACAAGCTCAGCAGAACTGGTTATTGAATCAGCATCTTCCAAGAGCAGTAACAAAACCCCAAGCTAACTGCTCTTATGTGCAGATGAGTCCAGTGCTGGAGATGTTTGTTAGCAGAATGAACAGCTGCTGTAGCCTTGCTAGGGCTTCCAGAGAGCACAGCCTCAACTTGACCCTGTAGCTCTCAAGTTCCTATAGATGTCTCTCAGAATAAACAGATTTTCACTTAGCTCTTTAAAATATCATTTTGCTCTGAAAAACTACCCAGGCTCTGTGCAGGGAGCACTGGTAAGCAAAACATGATTGTCAGGGGAAGACCTGCAGCACTGCCCACTCAGAGGGACGGCACAGGTCTTTTCCAAGTTACAACCGTTTTGCAGCATTTACCGAAGGAAATTCACACCTGGTTCAAAGTAAAAGCTTCACTTTTCCAACAAGAGCATTTACTCCCTGATTTTTCTACAGAAAAACAAGTACACCAAGTCAGAGCCATCAAGATCTTTGCAGATTTTGTGTCAGTGAAAACCTAATTAAGCAGCCTCTAAAATGAAAACCACAGTTGCACAACACAGGTTCTGAACCCACCCAGCGAGGCTGGCAAAATACTGCCTAGGAGGCTGCAGGATGAAATGGAGAATCACTCGTGTTTAGGAAGAGCAAGAAAAACAGCTTTGGATGGACAGATGATGAAGGAAGCTGTGACATGGCACAGGCCAGCCCCCGCCTTACAGCGAGGCAGCGCGGTGCTGGCAGGAGCCGTGTGGCTCTCAGCAATCAGCTCACAGGAAATAAACACTGTGGATTATTTGTAATGCGCTTGGAATAAAACCATCCTCATGCAGAGGCCCAGCACAAGGGGCCAAGCTCCATAAAAGTCTCATGTAAGTTTTGTTTGGAGGATTTAAGTAGGGCCTAAGTGATGTATACACTTTATCTAGCCCTCTTTGTAAAGGGGACAGTTCCCCCCCCCCCCCATTGAGCAAAGAGAAAGGCCTGAAATAAAGAGATGTCTCTATCTCACAATTAAGCTTCATGCAGGTTTTCCACTTTCTTTCCTTAGTTTGGGGTTCTGAAGATCTCAAGGATACAGGGCTTAGGTTATAAGCTCCCACATTCTCAGAGAGCACTCTTTGTGCAGTTACAGGTGAAATCTCATCTGCAAACTCTTCCACATGAATTACAACAGTTACAGCCCAGCTGCCGCCGCAGCACTTCAACACCCAAACAAGAGCTGGACACGAGGTTGGTTGCACAGCTAGGAATTTTCCCACCTAGAACTAAAAGGGTGGTGAAAGAGGAAGCCTTGAAGGCAACCAGACCCCTGTGGCCACAGGCTGCCAGGCCCGCACCCCGGGCATTACCTGGTCACCCCATACTCTGGGGGCGGCTGGTAACGGACAACGGCCACCTCGGTCCTGGAGGGCTGCGGGGCCACATAGGAGGCCTTGAGGACGTCCTGCGGCCCTGCCGGGTGCTGCTCGCCATAGAAGAGCCCATGATCAGGGGCCTTGCTGCTGGGGGACACCGCCGCCGCCACCTTGGCCTTGTAAGGGTACTCGGGCGGCGGGCCTCGCGGGTCCATGCCTTTGCTGGGTGTCGGGGCGGCCTTCGGCCCCTTGCTGCCTGCCGGGGCAGGTGGGTGCTGCTTGGCCCCGTTCCTCTCCAGTGAGAGCTGCATGATCCTCTCGCTCAGCGAGCGCACGTGGCCCTGCTTCAGCTCCTTCAGCGCATCGTCCTTATGTGCCTGCCCGCTGCCGGCCCGGCTCACCGTCGGCCTCCCCTCCGTCCTGGACTTCTGGCCAGAGGTGCCGGCGACATAAAACCCCGGCCCCGCCGGCGGCTGCCCCCGGAAATACTGCGACTGGGCCTTGGCCTCCTCGTAGGTGGGGAGCTCCTCGCTGCTGTGTGGGGGCTGCGCGGCCCGGGGCTGCTTCTCCATCGCAGCACCGTCCCCCTGGTGCTCCTGCCCCTGCGGTTCCTGCCGCGCCGACGGCTGGACCATTTGTGGGTCCTCGGGCGCGAGGTTTTCTGTGGAAGAGAGAGTGCTGGCAGTGCTGTTGGAGGGGCCGGCGCTGCCCGTTGCCTGGTGCTGGATGGCCAGCAGGTTCATGTTCTCGCTGGGGTTGCCATACCTCAGCTGCTCCTGGATCAGACGCTGCAGGACCGTGCCGGCTGCCACCTCCTCCGAGCCTCGCATCTCCACCTCTGAGCTCCGGAGGAAGGCTGGAGGGTGCAAGGTGCAGAGGGTTTCCTCGGCTGGGTGGAAGAGAAGGCAGCGGTTAGGAGAACACCTTGTTCTGGGCCGCCTGAGAACAGCACCATTCTACTTTCAGAGGCCTCACTCCCTCTGCTCTTCTTACCCCCCACGGCTGTACCATTCTCATCTCCTTATGGCAGCTCACCCCTAATTCTGATTAAGCTAAGTGACCCCATCCCTTCCCCAGCCCTCCCCCCAACATTCTCCACATGCCCCATACCCATGGCTCCAATCTCAGTCAACGGTGGGACAGGGAAACGTGATCTTCTCTAAGACAGGAATTGGGTAAATCTCTCCCTGGAGATGCCTGGCACAGATTACAGAGGAGCCTCCATAGCAATACCAAATCAGCGCATTTTTGACAGCTGAAGTTAGAGAGCTGAATCCCCTCACAAGTGCACTGCATGCCACAATACATGATAGATAATATATATATTATATATAATATATAATATAATATATTATATAATACAATAAGATACAACGCAGGATGTGTCACAGAAAAAGCCTAAAATCCTACTGAAAATAAAAGAGCTCTGGGAGCGTAATTGAAGAGAAATCTGTGCTCTGGCATTCTTTCTTAAAACTGCAATTTCCCTTCTGGCCAATAACACTAATTCTGTGCAAGTCAGTACCAACTTTTGTAATTTTGCTGGGTGAATACAAGGAAGACATTAAGGTTGCAATGTAGTACCAGAGCTTTAAGTATCACAGATCAGACAGACAACCATAACATAGACTGAAATAATACAGAGACAACTTCTTCGTATAACTTCTTCACCCAGCCTCACAAGATGCATTTGTATGGGATAAGGTGTTACAGATGCTGTAACTGAAGTGAAGGCACACAGCTCAGGGGTTAGGTCAAATACCAAAACAGTCTCCAGCTCCCTTCTTCATCTTAGTCCTGTTTGTTCCACACAGCAATGTGGGCATAAGTCATAGAAAGTGATGCACACAGTGAAGCTTGCCTGCAGCAAGGCACCTAATGGCATAATCCCTCCCAGCTGAATCCCATGAACCCATCCCAAAGAGGTGTAAAGCATTTGTGTCTGCACCCAAAGGAGTGCTCCTGGTGGGTGAAAATCAGCCCTCAGCTCTGCAGAGTCCTCCCATTTTCCTAGGCAAGGAGGAGGAGGTGCTGTTCTGAGTTCAGTTTTTGAGGTCATTTTTGGCAACTTTCTTTCTCTATCCCGCTGTTTCCAGTTCTCAAAGGAGCTCCTCAGCAGTATTTACATTTGTTTTCTTGGCGTTCAAAAGTTGTTAAAAAGCAAAACTTTCTCCCGAGGTCTGCTATTTCCCCATGTTTCACCAGTTACTGCAGATAATGTGGGACAACTTGTATACAACCTGGATGCCAGAGGGGAAGAAAAACCCTTGACTCTTATTCTGTGACAACTGGCCATTTCCACTAACACTGTTTTTGCCATAAAAGCTTAACAATGATTGTAAAGCTTGAGGGAGGCTGTTCCACTCCACATCTGCCCTGCAGAACACATCTCTCCTCTGCCTTCCCTGAACATCAGTACCTTACTGGCTGGGGTGGCAACCTGGCCACCATAACTCAGAGGGTCTGCCAGCTCCCTGAGCCAGTGTTTGAGCCAACAAGATGAATGGCTTAGGTTGGAAGGGATCTTAAAGATCATCTAGTTCCAATGATACAAACCTACTCAGCTAGCTGCACAATAGCCAAACGTCCATCCACATATGCCCCTGAAGCTACGGTGAACTCATACTGCTGTATTTGTATTATCACACTGCACAGGAGTCTTGCCATAATAGTCGTTTTGCAGACTTGAAATAAAAAACCTCTCTTACATACAAGAAAGCTCACTGTACAAGTTATTAGACTATAAGCAAGGAAAGTAGATAAAGCCAACGTCACATACTCAAAACACCAGAAAGATTTTCACTCCTGCACTAGTCATCCATTAGATCCCTGTATTCAGGGGATGTACTTTGGTGGCCTGTTTCTGAGGTTCAGAAGGACCAGCAGTGCTGTCCTGCTGGCAAGAAGCTATGCACCTCAGTCCTGCTGCTCAGTGAAGAGCAACCACATCCAGAAGGACAAATAGAAACAGGTGACAAATGACAGCAGGTTATAACACTTCCATCAAAGGAACCTGCCTTCTGCCTGTGCTGGGGGTGAGGAGGTGACCTTCATCTCAGTAAATATTTAAAAATGATGTCTGGTTAGTTAATGCTTAGGGAAAACCCAGATATAACCGTGATGGGTTCATATGGAAGAGTGGCAACTCACTCACCAGCTTTTTCTTTAGCACTGACAGCTTCAGCTGTTAGTGGAGAAATGTCATGCCTGCCAGCAAACAACTGGTGGTCCTGATAAAGAAAGCCAGTGTCCTCCAGTATCTGGCCTGGGCTGGTGGGCTTGTAGCATGCAGCTGAGGAGCCTGCAAGGAAGAAAAGTGGGATGTCAGTAAATAAGTTATTTGAATGATAAAATATAAAGCCCAGATTAATGACAGAAGTTCAAATAATTTTTGAGCCCTGTTCGGTGTCTGAGAGGCCCTGCTGGGGTCAGGCTGAGGAACAACCAGGAGTCAATGAATCATCAGTGCCATCTCACGCCCCAGCCCACCCCAGGAACACAGCCAGGCTGACCCAGCCTGGCTTACAAGAACCAGCAGGCTTACAGGTTGGCCAACAGAGGCTGTGGAATCTCCTTCTTGGAGGTCTTCCAATGCTGCCCGGGCTTGGCCCTGGGCACCCCGCTCTGGGTGTCCCTGCTGGAGCAGGGGTTGGAGCAGATGGACACAGAGGGCCCTTCCAACCATTCTGTGAACAGCAACAAGGTCACAAATCAAGTCATAGCCCCAGGACACGAAGCAAACAGAACTGGCATAAAACTGAAAGAAGGACCGGGTAAAGAAGATGGAAAAAGGTGAGGACACAATCACATGTCCAGCGGGGCTACGGTCTGTGAAAGACTTCACTGCAAAATTTGATCACAACTAATGGCTCAGTAAGACAGAAAATTACTAGGACATAAAATACAGCCAACACCCCCAAGGGAGTCCAATCCCTTTGTCCAGATGTTCTTAACATGGATGTAGCTGAGATCCCCAGGAAAATGTCCAGCAGGAGCAGAGTGACCCAGGTCACAGTGGCACCAGCAGAGTGCCCATGCATCCCAGCAGGGCATCTGTCCATCCTAGCAGGACGGGAAGCCACGAATATGGGGATGAGCTTGCACAAGCAGAGAAGCACATTCTTCTGACACATTATTGCTGACTCCACCCCCTGCACAAAGCAGGGCAGCAGGATCTAGCCCATCCTGATTACAGGCACAAAGTTGTAAAAACTATATTCTTCTATGCCCAGAGGAGAAGAAACAGGCGTTTGTGCAAAATGTTAATGAATTCATCACTTCACCATTCATGTTATGCACAGATTTGTAAGGCAGTTACCTATATTTAGAGAGCAAGGAGGAGAAGATTGTTCACTTGAGCAAATATAAGCCAAATATATTTGCCAAAATTAGCACAGAAGGCTGTTCTAGCATTTGTGCTGATAAAGATGCAGGGAAAACCTCCAAACCCCATTTTCCAACACGACTGCTGTACTGTGGCACAGAACAACATCCCAGACACCTTTCACTGCTCCTGCACACACACACAGCCCTGCCCTCAGACCGGGAATTCTGCCTGAAACAAAGAGTTGCGAGCCCAGGCTTGTTTTACAAATAAAAACTGGATTGGGATGAAACACATAGGGTAAAAAAAAAAACGGTTTCAGGCACTACAGACAACCTAAACAGCCATCAGCTAGGCGTCACCACTCGGCAAACAAAAGCTAGAAGGAAAACTGCTACTAAAATTTTGCTTTCATTCATCTGCATGCTGTATTTTGAGTCATTAGACACCCTCGGGTTGTGTCTTCAAGTGCTGCATCTGCAGCAAAGGGCGCATGAGGAGATGCACAGCAAGATGGCTTTGCTGGGAATCACAGCTAAAGACAAGGAGTGAGATGAGATGGGGTGCACCCATGGAATGCCACCCACATCCGGACATGTCCTGAGCACCAGAGCAGCTCAGCTGGGCCAGGAGGGTTCCAGTGAAAGGCAACCTGCCTGGAGTGAGGGTTACCCAACTTCTGATAGCCAAACGGAGCAAAGAAAAGGCTCCTCTGCTGCAATACTCATGCACAAGGTCAGTACAGAAATCAAAAGAATTCCTTAGAGCTGTGGTCACTTGAGAAAAAACAAGCAGAGCGACATCCACTGCTGTCACTTTGCTGAGGAAGGTGTTACTGAAGCCTCCAAAGAAAAAAAATCCTGGACTTAAGGATTTAGAACCTGACCATCATTAGTACTTGCTTAGATACCTTGGTTAGCACAGGCTCCTTCAGTCATTAGAAGGAGCTTCACCTTCAGAAGGGGACTGAGTCCACCCCCAGTGTAGAGGACTGGGATGAGGATGCTCCCAGCAGGAGGACCCTGACCTCAGGCACTGCCCAGAGGATACACTTGGAACAGACCTTCTTCCAGCACAGCTCATGCTGCAGTGAGACATTGCTCTGAGCCTCTCTTTCTCATGAAACCTCAGTCTACAGGACCGCACTGACAATTTTATAATTTTGTAATACTTTAGGTGAATATAATGCTTTAAATTCATTTAAAGATAAAACTGAGGGAGATACAATGCATGGCTGAAACAGTAGTTTTATGGAAACCCATTAGCACAATTAGTCAAAACCTTTCCACAAAACCACTCTGTTCGCTAACAAGCAGTGGGAATGCTGACCAACCATAAACTTAAAACATCAAGGAAAAAACTAAAAACAGCTGGAAGTCCATGCTGCATTTGATTGATCTGAACCACTACTGCAGTGCAACAGTGTCTATACACAATCTGGTTCATAGACACAACCCTCTCAGCTGCTGTATATCCAATATCTATCGCATCCACCTCCAAGACATGATCACATCTCCTGCCTTGGTCAGTCCTTGCCGAGCTCCTCCCTCATTTCTCATTTCCAATGAGACCCTGGCCCAGCTGCCCAGAGAGCTGTGGTGCCCCATCCTTGGAGGTGCTCAAGACCAGGCTGGATGGGCCCTGGGCAGCCTGAGCTGGTGGGGAGTGACCAGCCCATGGCAGGGATTGGGGCTGAGTGGGCTTCAAGTCCCCTCCAAACCAAGACATTCTATGATTTCTGCCTCACTACCAATTCTCCCAGATCTCAGTGGTTGCCCAACACCGATTCATGTTTCCTTTGTCAAAGATAAGCACATAATTATGCCATATCATTCTGATACAGCTACGCAATTCATTTCAAGATTCGTAACCATTTCAATGAATCATTCACTAAGATTAATGCTGGAAATGCAGCAAGGACCCACAGATGCTTAAATATTTCCTGTTTCTGATGTGGTTTTGGTCTGGTTTTGAAAGGGATCTAACCCAAAACCTCATAGGAAGCATACTGCTGTGACTTTACAGGAAAGCCACGTCTTCATAGCAATACCAGCACTTCCAGGAAGCAGATTTCCTCCTCAAAAGCTATTTGGAGTAGGCAGTGTTCTTCCAGCCAACCTACTGTGACTTACATCTTTACTGAAACACCCCAAAAATGCCCATTTTGAGTGGCCTGCTGCTATTTTGATGCAGCACTGGGCGCTGCTTTCCATGTGGCTCCTCCACCATCATCCACCGCTCCCAAAATCCTCCATCCTGCCAGACACAAGCAGTGGGTGTCCTCCAAATAATCTCCTCCCAAGCTGTGCTGCAGCTCAAAAAGAGACTGGAGCATTTCAAGCACCTTCCAAAGCAGCCATCTGAAATTAAGAAGGGAGTAAGGTGGCTTTGCGCTTTCCCATAAACTCCTCCATGGTCTGTAAGGAGGATCCAAAAATGACAGAACAAAAATGACACCGTTTCAAAGCCCACATCTGTCCTTTTGTCTCACAGCCAAGCCAGCAAGAAATATAAATACCTCATTCCACCTTTGGAATATTTCCTCTGCCCTGTTGCTGGGTAAATTACAGTTTGAGTTGGAAGGGATCCTCAAAGGCCACCCAGTTGAATCCCCCGCAATGAACAGGGAAACCTACAGCTCCATCAGGTGCTCAGAGCCGCATCCAGCCTGACCTTGAGTATTTCCAAGGATGAAGCACTCATCACTTATCTCGGGTCAGTGAGAAAAGTATTGGTGAAGGAAAACGAGACGAGGACAGTTAAAGCACCGCTGGTGCCACGCCAAGACTGGGCTATGATTTCCCAATGGGATACAACCATGTCCCAGACATGAGATGCCCCACCCAGCCCTGTGCTGGGCAGGATGCACAAGAACCCAGTCCCTCTGCAACTTAGGGACAGGAACCTTTGCTCACAGCACTGTGCTGTTCCCCTGTCCTAAAAGAGCTCTGGGAGACTCTTGCTGGGTACTACCACTTCCCTTTCCAAAAAGGTCATTATCCAAGAGAGCACTGAACAATGGGAGAAACTATCACAGGAGGGTCAGGCTGCGTGTTAGGGAAAGGTCGGGCCCCATGGGACAGTGGGCATACAACACAGCAGCAGGCACAGTCCCCAGCTGCTGGAGCTTAGGGAGTGTTTGGACGGCACTCTCGGACATTGGATTTGGATTTGGGTGGTCCCGCATAGAGCTGGGAGTTGAATTTAATGATCTTTTAGGCTCTCTTCCAACTTGGGATATTCTGTGATTCCGTGATACAAAAGTTAATGAGAAGAGGCAACGGGGGCAGCAAACCCCGAAATTTAAATGCATATATAACCAAACACTTTCCATTTAACTTCAGCCCAACGCACTGATTTTCATATACATTTCCCCTCAGCAAAAACAAAGCGGCCGAACCCAGAGTTAAGAACAAAGCAAAGCAACCACCCTTGGAAGGCAGCTCACAGAGCTGGCAGCAGATCACATGGATGCTGTGAGCGCAGGGCCCAGGCTGCCTGCCCAGCGGATGCCCGCAGATCAGGTGCATGGGCGTGTGGGGGGGGCACAGATGGCAGCAGTGCTTTCATCTCGCTGGGACATGATTTTTATGAAATTTAATAATTCACGGGTTGGTTTTTTTCCCTTCCACCTTCCCAGGTTGGCATGCTGTGGACAGGTGGGCTGCAGATGGGGTATCTGACTTGCAGAGGGATGCCATGTAACCTGTACTGGGAGGAGCAAGGAGACACGCTTTTTACAAAGCTTCATTACGGCATACAGAAAAATACATGTCTCTACTTATTATAAGGTACAAATTTACCTCTGAGGCTACAGCACTGAGTCTACAATGCAGAGCCAGCCTGGATTTATAATAAGGATTCAAGGAATTGAATCAATAATTGAAATTTCTGCTTTGATCAAAGCGCCATGATTACAACTTGTGTTGGCGTTGTTGCTCTGAGATAAAAGGTGAGGTGCTGCTCAGAGCCAAAGCAGCACAGGAAGGAACTCTCCGACAAGGAGCGAAGCACAAAGGCTGGCACGGAGCTTGGGAATCAGCATCAACCAGCCACAACATGGACAAAGCATCAACCAAGCAGGAGCTGAAGCTACAACTAACTGTGCTGTACTTACTGCCTTTAAAAGCGATCTCGTTACAGAAATGCCCTGGCACGATCACTTTCATCAGACATTTAAGCCTTTCCATTAATTAAACAGAAGTGAAACAGGACCCAGGACTGCAAAGACACTGGGATCATTAAGGCTGGTTCCCGGGCACTTCCAGCAACCACGTCATAAAACTCCCTTCTTGCAGTGCATGGGCTGTGCCTTTATGTGGGCATTTTGTGCCCCAGTTCCTCCCATTTGGGAGCAGCTTTGGGCTCCTGTTCCTCCAGCACACAGACATCCCCCCGGTTCCCACTCAGTCCCCAGTGCTGCTCTTTCTCCAGGCAGTTTCCTGCCAGTGGTGTCCTTTAGGTTAAATAGCTTTCTCCCTGAGTCATTCCCACAAACTTGCAAGCGTACAAAGGAGCCTGGGATACGGACAGAACAAAAATAGTACAAAGACCGTACAGTACTCTTTAACTGAAAATGCAGGCACTGAACTCTATCTTATGCATCTTCATATTTCTCAAGCTTTTCCTTTTTTACACAGCGAGCCACACAGCCAGCACTTTGCTCCATCCACACACAGAACTGTGCGATAACCCAACCCTATGCACAGCCGCTGCCTTATTCTTATCTTAACCGCCCCATCTAAGGGGAAAAGACATTAAGCCTTCTTCCCACCAGAATATATATTAAAATTATGCGCCTTCTGTTATTAAATCATTACTCGCAATTTAGAGTCAGCCGCTTTCAAAGTGCAGGAACGCAATAAAGGTGCTACACACAAAGGTGCTAATGAGGTGACTGCCTTCAGCTCCTGCTCCCAAGTGACTGAGCAGCATCCATCCCCTGCACATCCCGCTGCTCCCGCCCTCACCCGCAGCAGGACGACAGCGCTAAGACCTTCTCCCCCCTTTGTGCCCATAAAACACAACTAAACCCGACCTGCTGAGAAAGTCACTTCAACACCAAAAAAAAAAAAAGAAAGAAAGAAACAAAACCTCTTCCTATGAGCATGAAGTTTCAACAAAAAGTTGAGTGAACGTGAGCTCGCAGCCTTCTGATGGCTTCCAGCATAGGGAGGTGCAGCAGGCACATCCTCCTATTCTCCTGCCTCCGCCCTGAGCAGCATCACACCAGAGCCAGTCCACAGTGCTGGGCACAGCACCACGTGCTTTGCTCCAGTTGAGACAGACCTGTTGCCGAGGGAGGGCTCAGCACTGAGCCATGACAAGCAGCGCAGGGACTGTCGCTGGGACCCCCAAGCACTGCCATTATGCAGGGATATAAATGAGAATCAAGGGGGTGACCCCAAATGCTGCCATCCCCAGGGGCCTTGGGGCACGCTTGCTCTCCTGCAGTGTGTCCCATGGGAAGGCAAGGCTGGGGGGCACATCTTGCCTCCACACACCATCCCAGCACACAGTGACTTTGCCTCCTCACCAAAGCCACGCTGGTTAATGTCCTTCCTCCACTGGAAGAGAGCTGTGGTGCTCCATCCCTGGAGGTGCTCAAGGCCAGGCTGGATGGGCCCCAGGCAGCTGAGCTGGTGGGGGGCAACCAGCCCACAGAAGGGGGTTGGAGCTGGGAGGGCTTTGAGGTCCCTTCTAACTGAAGCCGTCCTATGATTCTATATGACATTTTATTATCATAAAATCATTTTTATCTGAAAGATTCACTTGGGAGAGTGCCGTCCCTGAGGACTGAACCCCACTGGAGTTGTTCTGCTAGCTACCAACGACCACATATTCATTCACACACGCAGGTGTCCGTGAAAACCTCTACGTGGGCAGGACACAGCCAGGCACTGCCCGCGGGAAAACGAGCCCACTGCCCAGCTCCAAAGCCTCCCCAGTCCCGCCAATCTCCCCCGCCGTATTACTCGCAAGGCAACAGCAGCACAGCCCCGCGCTGCCCCCGGCCCCGCAGCTGCTCCCGGTCCAGGAAAAAGGAAAAAAAAGTGCACTTCTTTCCATCGCAAGAGGAAAACAGGCGAGCAGCGACCTTCCTGTAGTTCAACACGAATCGCAAACCACGGCAGGAGGGCTAGGAAGGGGGAGAAGTTCACGTCGCGTACCATTTATTTATTCCTCCTGTCTCAACGCGTTTCGCTTTCACATAGAAATCGACCTCCTCTCCGTGCAGGAGAAATACCGGCTCTCCGGCGGCCCCAGCCCCGAGCCGGACCCCTGGGGACGGCGCAGAGCCGCTCCCGGTCCCCGCGGGGCTCCGCGCAGCACCGCCCGCGGACAGCCCCGTTGGAAGCCCTCCTCCTACCGCCGCGTTCGTGCGGGACAGCACCGCACCATCGCTCGGGGTGCCGCCGTCTCGCACCTCTGCTGGCGAAGCGGAGAGAAAGTCGCCCAAGCGCCCCGGGGAGAAGCACGGAGACGGGGCTCCGAAGGGTCTACGGAGCAGCCCACTTTCACCCCGGATCCCCCGACACGACGCCGGCCGCCCCACCGACATCCCGCCACCGCCCAGTACGACCGCGCACACACGCGGATCCCGAGACCACCCGGCGCTCACCTCCGGCTCCGCGCCCCGCCGCCCCCGGCAGCACCGCGGCCATCCGCGCCGCTCCCGCCGCCCCCGGGCGCGCTCCGCTGGGGCGGGGCGGGGGCGGCACCAGCGAAGGGGCAGGGCCACGAGAAGGGGCGGAGCTAACGGGTTGTAGTGGGCGTGGCCCAGAGGTTGTGGGCGCGGTCTGGGCATGGGGGCGGAGTTTATACATGGGGGCGGGGCCTGGTGCTCGCGGGACCTGAATTCCATCCTAGGAAGCACGCAGGGGATGGAAGCGTCGCCTCCCCCTTGCACTTCTAAAATCGTGCAATCGTTTTGGCTGTAAGGGACCCTAAAAGGCCATCTAGTGAAACTCCTCTCCAGCGAGTGAGGACACCTACAGCTAGTCCCAAATTAAAGCTTTTAAATGCTTAAATTCTCTGCAAAATTCTTCATTTTCTGGAACAGCTTTCCAAGTGGTTTTCACAGCCTTTCTTTCCTGTTTGATTCCACTTTGATCTATAAACCACGCAGCCATGGAGGGCAGCAGGCTGGAAAGAGAGTTTTGTAATCCCTCTGCAGTTGAGGGAATCTGAATGGTACAGGAAGGTTTCGGCCACCTGCATCGTGCTCACCCAGCAGCACCAGGCCAGCACCGCTCTGCCTTCCCCATGCTGCAGCTCCACTCTTGGTACAGAACTTCCCCAGCACGGGGAAGTAAGGATCCTCCAGCACCCGGGCACTGCTGCTGCCACCAGATCTGGGACCGGCTGTCCTGAACTGCAGGCACACCCGGGTATGGATGCTCGTTACATTTGCACCCACCCATGCGTGTAATCGCTCAGATTCCTAATGCAACAAGCCAGCAAATAATTGTCCCAGGGCGCCTGGCCCTGCGGCAACCCCAAATGCCTGCAAGCAGCTTCCCTTCAAGCTGCTGTCCCCTACGATAGGAGCTTCATAGGCAGTGCTGTGTTTGAAGGAATCTCTCTGCACATCTGTTTTTCCAGCTCTGCCAAAGAGCTTTCATTTCCCCCTAAACCTGACCTGCTCGGTCACTGGCTGCTCAGCAGAGCACTGGTTCCTGGATTCACTCCAGTGCGAGATAAGGTCAGTGCAGCAAAGAAAAAGAAACAGCTGGATGTCCACTGAGCAGTGGGAGCAAACAGTGCGGGGACCGGGGCTTTTTTTTCCCTTCCTTTTCTACTTGTCCAATGGGATTCATTCCCTGTGTGTTCATTCCCCCAGCACACTGTATCACCGTATCACCAACGCAGCATTTCCTGCAGCCTGGGGTTGCCCTGCCTTTTCAATCCGACTTTTTTTTCTGCCATTCAACAAACTCATCCAGAACGGCTGCAGAACCATCTCTAATGGGGAAGGAAGGAGGTGGAAAAGTGGTAGGGGATGAGGGAATGGAAGAAGGGAAGGGAGGAGGGCAGGGAGAAAGCAAGGGGGAGAGGCAGAGGAGCCTCTGCACATATTCCTCTATGGGGAGAGTTTCTCCCTCCCTGACCTCACTTTCTCCAAAGCCAGAAGTTCCTCCTCAGGGTTTGCCAAGGAGACAATGAAGTGCTCCTCTGTTGGACCATGCAGAGTGTGAAACGTTCTGGTTTCATCATTTGAAGAACAAAAGGAACACAGCAGTCCCAGGCTGACTCATATCTGCTGAAATCCAGCAGCCAAGCAGTGGGAGAGCAGAGAGAAGAGGAATGGAAAGAAGAGGATGCGAGGGCTGCTTGTGACTTTTTCCCGGTTCATTGCTGTGGACACAAATACCACTTTGCATTATCCCAAAATTTAAGAGCCTCCAGTGTCCTCTCTCTGACATGGCCACTAAGCAGACAACTGCAGAGGACATATAAGGAAAAGTACAAACACAGATGATGTTTTCTCTAGTACATGAGCCCATTTTCCAGCAGTTCCTGCACTGCAGGAACTTCCTGAGCTGCATCATTGGTTCTGAGGGCCCTTCATAGACAATTTTTTTCCATGTTATTTTCTAATCACTGTTTGAGCCCATTCATACTTTTGGCACCCTGGACATCCTGTGGCAATGGGTTGCACAATGTAATTGTATGATGTTTGAAGGCATACTTCCTTTGGGTTGTTTCAAGCCTTTCCTTATTTATTTCCACGTCATTCATAACTCCAGTACTTCTACCATATCCTCCTTCACTTGTTTCTTCTCCACTCCATGAAGGCACAGGCTGCCCAGGGAGGTGGAGGAGTCCCCATCCCTGGAGGCGTTCAAGACTTGTGGAGATGTGGCCCTGAGAGTTGTGGTTAGTGGGCATGGTGGGGATGGGCTGAGGTTGGACTAAGTGAACTTAGTGGTCTTTTCCAACCATAATGACTCAGTGATTCTAAGTTGTAGTTTACCCAGTGTCTGCTTTCATGGAAGCTGCACTCTCCCTTGGTCACCACTGGCTCCCTTGTCTGCTTAGGACTGAAGAATCATAGAATGGGTTGAGTTGGAAGGGACCTTCAAAGGCCATCATGTTCCAAGTCTCTCTACACCACCTACCAGCTCAGGCTTCCCAGGGCCCATTCAACCTGGCCTTGGGCACCTCCAGGGATGGGGCAGAAAGCTCTGTGGGCAGCTGTGCCAGGGCCACACTGCCCTCATGGGGAATGATTTCTTCCTTATACCTTGTCTAAATCTCCACTCAATCAGTATAAAGCTGTTACCTCTTGTCTGATCACTACATGCCCTCCGTGAGTTTTCTCCAGGAAGCCCAGAAATGCACTCATTGCTCGAGGTATGGGTGAGCCATGCCCTGGTCACACAGCAGCAACCCTTGGAGGGGTTTCCAAAAGTTGGGCACAGTAAGCAGAGCTCCAGCCTTTAAGAGGCAAGAAGAAAAAAACATTAGGAAAGGATTTTCCAGCCACTGTTAATTCCATTCTTGGAAACACTGAAACAATCAAAGCCTTTGCAAATGTGCAGAAAAGGAGGATATGGGTAACAGCCAGCGCAGATTCAGCAAGAACAGAGCTGGTCAGACTAAATCAGTCTCCCATGATGAGGTGATAAATCTTGTAGATGAAGGGTGAACTGCAGATGTCCTATATGTTAGCATACATGTAAGGCTTTTTATATTGTGTCATGTGGTATTACAAGTAAGAGGAAGAGAGAGGGAGAAGAAAGTGAGTATGTAAATGCACGGCTGCTCAAAACCCTTCTCAGAACTGAGTTACTAATGCCACAGGGTTGCACAAAAACCTCTCCTAAATCTGGTGCTGCTCAGCATTTCCAGGAATGACTCAGAACCCAAGCAGAGCTTTTTATGTTTGCAATGGACACCAGGCTGGGATGAACTGCCAGCATGCTGGACACAGTGCTGGAGCTTGAGGCAGGCTTGCCAAGGAGGAAAAAAGAATGGGAGTTGGTGATACAGAAGTGCCAACTGAAGCAGAAGCTCTGTGTCACCTGCAGATCCTATGCACGAGCCAGGATTGTGCTCTTGAGAAAAGGGCAGACCTTGCAGAGAGGGGATGGCACTGCAGCTCTCTGCCCTCTGATGGCAGCTGGAGGGCTTGTCTAATTTGGGATAAATGCAGAATGTGGAGAAACATGAAAGAGGAGGGAAAAGCACTGCAAGGCTGGAAAAGACATCCTGTGAGACAAGGGATTGGGGTTATTTAATCCAGCAAACAGACAGCTGTGTTAAAGTCAGAACCTTCAAGTACAAAAGACGCAGTGGAACATGAAGAGAAAGTGAACAAACCTTTTACGCCTGCTTTTGGCAGCACAGTGAGTAACTGGCTGAAATTACAGATTTAATTAGATACCAAGAAAACCTTTCCAGCCCTTGGAGCAGTGCGACTCTGGAGCTGATTCTGTGGGAAAGCCGCTGGGACTCCTGAACACAGGCTGGTTCACCAAGCAAGGTGGTGGATTTGTCAGTGAGACTTGCCTTCAGGCAGCAAGGATCCTCAGCGGTTTTTAGAGTAATGAAGCTGTGTTACAATACTACAGTTTTGTCTTAGGGTGTTACTGTTAGTAAAGCACCAGAACAGGTTGCCGAGAAAGGAGGTGGATGCCCCATCCCTGAGACACCCAAGGTCAGGCTGGATGGGGCTCTGAGCACCTGATCTAGCTGTGGGAGTCCCTGTTCACTGCACGGGGTTGGACTAAATGATCTTTAAAAGTCCCACCCAACTCAAACAATTCTATGATTCCAATAGCCTCAATTCTATGATTCCAATAGCCTAGATGGCCTGTTTGACCAGAGAAGAGCACCAAGTTGGTGTTCTCAGGCTTACAGAATCCCTTCAGCACAGGGTACATCTGAGCTGCAGCCAAGATGGTCTTCACCCCTCTGACGTGTTGGTTCTCACCACCTCTCGCCTGGCACTGGCACCATGCAGCTGTGTATGACTAAGGTCAGGAGCAGAGCCAGCTGCAAGTCCACCCACTGGGAAGAAGACAAGGCGAGAGTTCAGTTTTCCATTACTCATTTTGCTATCTCACATGCTTTGTCTACCTCAGATGGAGTCTTGTGCTGCATTTGGAAGGCAGAGTGGAAATGTAAGGTGATGCGAGCACTGGTTTCACTAATCTTTTCCAGCCTGAGGGATGTCTGTGTAGAGGGAAGTGGTGTCCAAGGAGTTTTTGGGGGTGGGGCTGTGCAGAGGCCATGGGAGATGTCACCAGCACAGCCAACTACCCACACTGGCAGGCTCAGACTGTTCCTCCATTAGCATAAGGAAGATGCCAGTACCCAGGTTGTCCCATGTTCCATCCCTCATTCCTACCTCATCCAGTGTCCTGCTCCTTGCCTAGGTGTCACCAAGAACCCAGCAATAAACCTTGTTCTTCACATCTAGAACATGTGCTACTCCACTAAAACCAACCAAATGTTGTTGTCTTTGTCACTGCGTTTGCCAAAACCTGGAAGAAATGGGCACATGTCCGTGCAGGAAGGCTCTAGCCAAGGGGAGATGATGCAGAAGACCAAGAAGAAAAAGAGCTGGTGGAAGCTGTGTCACAGAAAATGTGTTTTAAAGTAACTTCATTTGTTTTAAATCACCTGGGCAGTGAATGAGGCAGCCAAGGGGAAACT